TTTTTGTTTCTTTTTTTTTCATGGGTAAATACTGAGACAAACACCCAGGATCGTAAGCATGACCTACGGCCGCCCAACCATGACCGCCCACCTCCCCGACATCCCCTTCCCCTCCACCATCGCCGAGCCCGGCTCCTCTCCCGCTTCCTCCAACGGCAGAGGCCCCTCTGAAATGTGCTTCTTCATCGAGTACATCCGGCAATGTCGCATCCTCGGCGAGATCCTCTCCCACGTTTACCAGCCCTCGGCCGGTGGACAACAACCAACCCAAACCCAAAACCCTCATCAACAGCATCAACAACACGGCCTGGGTTTAGGGCAGGGAATGGGAGGACAGGGACAACAGTCGTGGTTTGGTCGGGAAACACACGGGATGGATGCTATTCTAGGGTTGGATGCTAAATTGACCCGGTATGAGACGGAGTTGCCAGCGATTATGTCGTGGAAGGCGCCGTGTGATATTAGTGGGTTGGATGCGGAGCGGAAGTTGATTATTGCCACGCAGCGGACTGTTCTTCGTGGGAGGTATGCTGATTTACTCCCCTCCCTATTCCATTCCCCCTTACTCCTTGAACTACACCTTCCAATCCAAGATGATATTGACAGCAGGCGAACAGCTTCCTCTACCTCCGCCTAATGCTCCACCGGCCCATCCTAACCCAACTCTGCGCCAACACCGAAAGCACCTCAAGTCCCACAAACCAAACCACCACCGCAACCTCCACCGGTTCAGGGCCAGGAACAGGAACAGAAGCACCCAGCTCACCGTTACTCCTCCGCACGGGAAGTGCAGCAGTCTCGGCCGGGCGGGAACTGTTTACGTCGTTCGCAGCGGGGTGTGCCAAGATCTGCTTGGGCGCGGCCGTGGATTTGATTGAGTTGGTGCATAGTACTTATTTGACGAATACGTCGGGCGGGTGGTGGTGGGATGGGTTGTGTATGTATTCCTCCTTTTCTTGCCTTCCCCCGATAATCCCCCTCCGATAACCCCCTCCGATAACCCCCTCCGATACCCCCCCTTGGGATACCCCTCCTCTAACAACATCCCGTGTTATATTATGGATCAAGGGGATTACTACTAACCATAATGTAAACAGACGCCTTCACAGCCGGCCTGGCCGTCATCGTCGGCTATCTCTCGCCCTCACTGCTTGCGTCGATGGACAAACAACGGCTGGAACGGTCGTGGATGCGGTGTCAGGAGATTCTGGCGCATTTTACCTCGTTTAGTGTATCTGCGCAGCGGTCGTTGAGGTTGTTGCAAAAGGTGCATGGGGATGTTATGTCGCGGTGTTCTGGTATGTTTTTACTCTTCTTATTCTTCCTCCTACCCTTCCTCTGGTGTTATCTGGTGTTCTTTTAGGGTTAGTTGGGGTTGTCGGCTAATAAACGGTGAAGACCAAGAACTACCCCTGGGACTCCCAGCCATGTCAGCGGGACCCATCGGCCCCGGCGAGGCCGCGATGGCGGGACAGCAGGCGGGGTTTCACATGAACCCGGAGGATATGCCGCTGGACTTGGGCAGTGGGTTTCAGTGGCAGATGCCGGGGTCGGATATGATGGGGGCGGGGCTGGTGTTCAATTGGGATCAGTCGTTGGATATGATTTCCGGAGGGTTGGGGATGGATTTGTATCCGTGAGGGTGTTTATGTGTTTATGTGTTTATGGGTGTAAGTTATGGGTGTATTTTCTGGGTGTCATGGCCAGGGGTAATGGTAATGGGTAATGGATGGATGTATTAATGGGTATGGGTAATGTGTGGGTACTAAAATAGCTTGGAGTTCGGATTCTATGGTACATATCACAGCTCTATCTTTATCTTGGACACAAAACCCCGAACCTAACGGACAAGACTGGTCGCCCACGCCTTCCACTGCAACAACTGACTCTTCACAGCCAGTACCGTCGAAAGAGCCCGGCTTGGATCCCTCTGAGCCAGCAACAGCAGTGCGATGACACTCACACCAAGACCGCTGACCACCCACAACCAAGTCCGCCGAGACTTAGGGATCACCCTATTACCAGTGCCCTGTGACTGTCAGCAACAACCCCTCGTTTAAGTGAAGGCGAGTAACAACTCACACTATACTCCCAATCCCTCCAAACCGGAAACAAACACTCATACCAATACCGCGCCTGGCTCCAGGGGTAGGTCATCCCATTCCAGACTTTCCCGCCCGGGCCGCGGATGTACCAGTTGTTGCATCCCGACATCCAGACCGTCTTCTGCAGAGCGTCCTGCATGCGGCGGGAGTAGGCCTCTTCGGCGGAGCGCTTGAGACGGACGAGTCCTGCGCGGCCTTCGAGAACGGGCTGTAGGACGCGGAGGGAGTAGTTGACGGCGTTTTCGATGGCCATTACGGTCGAGGTGTGGCCTGTGGCTGTGTTGGGGCCTGGGGGTATGTGTCAGTCGAGATCAAAAAGACAAAAGGGGAAAGGAAAAAAAAAAAAACAGAGGAAAGGGGGAAAATGAGAAAAGGGGGAACGGGAACAGGGAAAACCTACCCAAGAGGAAAAACATATTCGGAAACCCGCTCAGCGACGTACAATTATACGCCTCGGGCCCCCCAAACGGCTTCCAATGCTCCGCCAACGTCTCCCCATCCTCCCCCACAAACTCAACCCCCCCCAAATACTGGTTCGTCGCAAACCCATTCGCCAACACCAACACATCAGCCTCGACCACCTCCCCACTCGCCATGCGCACCCCATGCGGCAAGATCTCGACCGCCTTCTCATTCGTCAACGTCAAATTCTCCGCATGCAAGCTCTCCAAATACCCGGAATCAAAAATCCTCCTCTTGCACCCAATCTCAAAATCCGGAATCAACATCTCATGATACTTTTCAGGAGCCGTCCCCCGCATATACTCCGCCGCCTGCCTCTTCTTCCGCTCCCGATACCTCTTCCCGGCCTCATCCAACCTAAACCCCGTCCACGCCGCCTCGGCAACCACATACACCACAAACCTCTGCACCGCCCCCAATCCAGGCACCGTCCCCAGTAGTGTCCGCACAAACCGCGGAACCTTCCGGTCCACAGGCGGATAAACCCAGTGTTTGGACCGCACAATCTGTGTCAAATGCGCCGTCTCCCCAACGATGGACGGCACGATCTGGGCGGCCGTACACCCATTCCCAAAAACAACCACCCGTTTCCCGCGTAAATCCACATCCCCCCTCCACCGCGCCGAGTGGAAAACCGGTCCGGCAAACGTCTCCGCCCCGGGCACGTCTAGCGTACGGATCTTATCAAACTGCCCCGCAGCCGAAAACAAAAACCGACACTCATACACGACCACCTCCCTGGAACCATCCACTTTCCGCGCAGTAACCCTCCAAACCCCCCTCCCCCCATCCCACACACACTTCTCAACCCCCACCCCAAAAACCATCCTCTCCCTCAGTGTCCTCCCATCCCTCCCCACATACCTGTCCGCCACACCCGTCAAATAAGCACACAGCTCTTTCGCCGGCGGCAGAACTCTTGTCCACGCAGGGTTGGGCGCGAAAGAGTAGGAGTAGAGGGCTGAGGGCACGTCGCAGGCGGCGCCGGGGTAGGTGTTGGTGTGCCAGGTTCCGCCGGGTGCGGAGTCGTGAGAGAGGAAGAGGAGGGTGTAGCTGTTGGGGGGGTCGGCTACGTCTGATGGGGAGGAGGATGGAGGGGGGGATGAGGCGGGGCCGTACCACCGGGCTAGGGTGGCGCCGAGACAGATGCCGGAGAAACCGGTGCCGATGCAGAGGAAGGTTGTGTAGATGGGGTCGGGTTCGGGGGGTGTTTCTTGGGCCTTTTCTGGTGGGGTTCTAGAAGCCATCGTGAAGGAGGCACGTATGACGAGTTAGATGGGTGTGTTGAGGTCGGAAAGCTGTTGAGGAAGTGGAAGTGTGAGGGTTTGATGAGTTGTGGGTGTGTCTGTGTGTTAAATTTGATGGCGTCTAAAACTAGGACTCAGACGTAAATATTATTATATTTGTGCTAGCCCCGTGTCCATACACCATCATACACCATGGCCACCACGCAATCATACTATCCACACCAAGCATCAAATGCCACAAATAATTCACCACCATCCCCACCTACCTCGGCATTTCCTCAAAATCGTCATGCGGGGGATGCGAATCTGGGGCCGTCGACGATCGCCCCATGGAGAAAGAGACGGGACGGTTCCGACGTGGGGTTCTGGGTGAACGGAGATGGTGGGAAATGCTGTGAAACCGAGGCCTTCCCTGTCGTGGGGCTTTCGAGGCGTTCAAGGTGTTTCAGTTGCGGGACTAAGACATGAGGCTGGAGTCTATTCGGACGCCTGAACAACTGATTGCAGAGAGAATGTCAAAATGCATGGTTGTTTGTGAAAGTAGAAGTTCATCCCAAGACGCCTTGACCGAGGAAAACCACCGGTCATGCTCCACTTTTGTAACAGAGGTCCAAGTCGGGTTATCTCCGTCACTGAAAGTCACCGACGATATTTCTAAAGAGAGCGTGATGCAAGAGGTGATTGAAGTCTTGGCCAAACTAATATCACCGAATTTGGTGGAGGTTTAATTAGACCGATTATGGTCAGATAACTAGAGTTTGTTCTTATGACCGTTTCTCACACGAATCCATCAAACTTAACTCAGTTGGACGGGCTCAACACGCCCTCACACTGTGGGCTTCTCCATCGCCCAACTTACATGAAGTCGACCAGGTTGTATCATACCAACATTTGTATACCCTAGTGGCCCAATCACGTCCTGATTGACAATGCGAGGCTCGGCTGACGCTTACGTGCTGCATGATTTGTCGCCGTTAAGCTTTCTGTTCTGACGGCTCGGCGGGGCGATTTGGGGAAATGTTGTACTAATGAGACCGCAGGTCTCATTCACTGCAAGTTCAAGACCCTCTTTGACTGAATCTTTAGTTAGGCCCCATTGTCGCGTAAACTCTCCGTTCAAGCGGGGTGTATCCCGAAAAGCATCAAAATCTCCCCGAAATAACTCACCTGAATCAATGCTCAGTTAAGCAGTCTCTCGCAAAAAGATGTCGAATTTTGGACGCCGGAACAATTCCGCCGGTTAACCTCCGCACCCCAGCGTGCTACACGTAATTATGTACCCCTGACTTGCCCGTGCTGCCCCTGGAAAACCCTCGGTTCCCCACAGCCAAGCCCCGCGTTCCTGCCCCCAGCGTTCATTCACATGCGATTGGGATCAAACGTCGGTGCAACCCCGCATTGTGACCCCAACAACTTTTTTAATGATTTCCCTCCCCAACTTTCAATTCCTTGCGCGGTACAAGCTTGCGAGATGTCCGACAGGCTAGGCCTGCGACGATCAATGCGGAAACAGCAGAGCAAAAGCGGGAAAGTGATGAGAATCCAGTCTGGATCGGATGGACCATGTAACCCTGGAAACTGGGGTACAGCGAGGGGCCCCACAACTTGCGAGCCGGTCGCGTGGTTCATTGTGGGGACTTCGTGGAGTTCGGCGAGATGGTTGTTGTGGGTTGGCGGACTTAATTGACTTGGTGTTCACTCTTGTGGTCTGGGGACACGAGTTTCGTCATCTCTTGCGTGTGTTTCGTTGTCGCTATCGTGTTGAGTTGTGTGTTGGTCATAGACTGGACACTTGGACCTGAACAGGCTCGCCACCAAGGAAACAAGAGGCGATATACAAGAAGCAGAGTTTTTTAAGTTGGCGATTCGAGACTTCGAGTTCAAGATGTCGGCCACCGTCTCAGCCGAGACGGCTCCCCTCTCGGCGCCGGTGCCCATCGACCTGCCCCAAGGCGACGAATTCCTCAGCGAGTCGTCATGGCGTGTGCTCATGGCCCTCATGGACACCATCATCCCCGAAATCCGGCTGCAAGAGGCCAGCCAAACACCGCCGACGACCCCAGCCGCCAAAGCCCGCGATCTCTCGACGGTCCACCTACCTAGCAACGAGTATTCCGCGGCCGCCGGCACCCTGCGCCGTGCCGCGTCGCCGGGACAGATCGAGACGGACGCCATCGAGGCGTATCTTGCCGAGAGGCCGTCTGCGAACCCGGCGTTTGTCGAGATTATTCACTCAATGCTGCATAATCTGCCACCGTCCAAGAAACGGGAGCTGAAGATTGTGCTGTCTGTTCTAAAGTATGTATATGTACCCCCTCAAAGGGGGGGAACATAAGAAGACAACAACCCAGAAAGTATATCAACTGACAGTAACCCCCCAGCACCCGCCCCGGCACGCTCCTCCTCACCACCAAACCACACGCCTTCCCCACCCTCTCCATCGCCGACCGCGTCAAAGTCCTCCACGCCTGGTCGACCTCCCCCCTAGCCCAAATCCGCGGCCTCTTCAAAAGCGTCACCACCATCGCCAAACTCGCCCACGTCCGCAGCAGCACCACCTTCTCCTCCCTCACCGGCTTTCCCGTCTTCCCCACCGCCTGGACCGCCGACGGGGGTTCCTCCTACCCCTACGAGTTCCTCCAATTTCACCCCGCTACCGGTGCTAGTACTACTGCCCCGGCCAAACCAGTAGAAATAACCACCGACGTAGTAATCCTCGGTTCCGGCTGCGGCTCCGGCGTCGTAGCCAACCGCCTATCCTCCGCCTTCAGCTCTTCCATCAACATCCTCGTCCTCGAAAAAGGCCGCCACTTCGACGCCCGCCACTTCCCCCTCTCCCAAGCCACCGGCTTAGCCAATCTCTTCGAAGCCGGCGGGGTCATCGAAACAGACGACGGGTCCATGACTGTCACGGCCGGATCGTGCTTCGGTGGTGGGGGGACGGTGAATTGGAGCGCGAGTTTGCAACCGCAGGATTTTGTAAGAGCTGAATGGGCGAGGGAGAGGGGGATGGGGTTTTTTGAAAGCCAAGAATTTCAGGGGTGTTTGGATCGGGTGTGGGAGAAGATGGGGTGTGATGAAAAGGTGGTGAGGCCGAATCATGGGAATAGGGTGTTGTTGGAGGGGGCGGAGAGGTTGGGGTACAAAGCGAAGGTGGTGCCGCAGAATTGTGGGGGGAGTCAGCATGAGTGTGGGTATTGTACGCTTGGGTGCTGGAAGGGGGAGAAGAAGGGGCCGGTGAATGGGTGGTTTCCGGAGGCGGCCAGGCAGGGAGTGAAGTTTGTGGAGGGTATGACGGTGGAGAGGGTGGTGTTTGGGGGGAAGGGGAAGAAGGGGGAGAAGGTGGCCAGGGGGGTTGAGGGGAAGTGGGTGTCGAGAGAGGGGGTGGAGGTGAAGGTGGTGGTGAAGGCGAAGAAGGTGGTGGTGAGCTGTGGCACGCTTTGGAGTCCGGTTGTGTTGATGAACAGTGGGATTAAGGTATGCGTTTCTGATGCGTTTCTGACTGAAGTATTAAGTCTAATGACAGGGCGGTCATGCTAACTCGCAACAGAACCCCCAGCTCGGCAAGAACCTATACTTGCACCCGACCAACTTTGTCTCGGGCATTTTTGACGAGGACGTCCAGCCGTGGGAGGGTAAGCCCCCTATCCTATCTGTCGATGTTTACTTGACTGCTTGTTTTGCTTTACTAACAACACCAGGTGGCTCCCTCACCTCGGTCGTCGGCTCCTTCGAAAACCTCGACGGCAAAGGCCACGGCGTCAAACTCGAGCGCATGTCCATGATGGTACGGCCCCCTATCTTAACCCTAACCCTGGCCCTCCTCCTCACCGTACTTACATACTGGCTGTCTAGCCCTCCTTCTGCCTCCCCTTCCTCCCCTGGACCTCCGGCCCCGCCTACAAGCTCCTCGCCGCCCACTACCGCCACCTCAACACCTTCATCGCCATCTGCCGCGACCGCGATACAGGCCACATCTACCGGGACCCCGCCACCGGCCGCCCGCGCATCGTCTACAGCCCTTCCGACTTCGACCGCGCCCACAACCTCCGCGGCGTCATCGAGCTCTGCCGGATTGTCTACGCCCAAGGCGGTCGCGAGATCCACCCTTCCATCGCGGGCATGCCGCCTTTTATTCGTCGGACGGCCGCCATGGACGCGACGGAGGAGGAAAAAGAGAAGGAGAAAGCGGAATTCGAATCCTGGCTTGCCCGCCTGCAAGCGCTGGGCAATAAACCCCCCGTGACGCCCTTCGCATCGGCGCACCAGATGGGCACGTGCCGGATGAGTGCGAAGCCTAAGGATGGGGTGGTGGATGAGAAGGGACGGGTGTGGGGGACGAAGGGGCTGTATGTGGCTGATGCGAGTGTGTTTCCGAGTGCGAGTGGGGTAAATCCGATGGTGACGACTATGGCGATTGCGGATTGGATTGCGAGGGGGGTGGTTGAGGAGTTGAAGGGGGAGGGGTTTACTGCGAGGTTGTGAGGAATTGTTTGTTTTTGAGTTTGGGGGGCTTGGGTCGAGATGGTTGGGTAGATGTTAATGTTGTATGTTTACCGAGGTATGGCTGGAATGAATTCCACTGTGTGGAATGTTGATCAGTACTTGTATGCGTGTCTAACTATCTCAATGTAAAATGTTTGAATCTCGGTTTGACTCTCACAGGACGAGCAGATATTGATAACAAATATAGGTAAGCTGGCAAAGTTCTTGGTCAAGGGTTCGACCTCTTCATCACTCTTAATGACCCGTGAATACACCTGGAGCATCAATTCAACACGGAGCGACTTTCTGTCACGGGTTTGGTCATAATTACACAGAGGCCTCATTAGGTATCCAAAGAGCCTTTTCCGTTGCCTGATCGTAATTAGGTACGGCGCTTCCATCAAATGATTCAGAGTTAGCCAACACCCCAACTTTCATCCCACTCCACCACTGCAGATACACTCGTATCAACACCACTTTTCCTTGATTCCAGCGGCAGCCAAATATTCCAGAACGGCCACAATTCACACCTATTGTAAACTGATTTGATTGGCCCGATCTAAGCGCCGACCCGCCTTTTACATCGAGCAAGGCTCAGGAGGCCACAGCCCCTGAAAAGACCTAAAGCTTGACCTGCAGGTTCAAGGCATTCTCACGACTGGGGAGTCAGCTGTTGCTGGATTGAGAAGCACGAAGGCTGTTGGTGAAAAGAGCTCTTGTGCCCCACTATTAATTACCAACCGCTGTTTAAAAACTGGGCAAACTCCATTGTCGATACAACCAACAAAGTTCCTCCCAAACTCTGTCTTGGCGTCAGTTACGAAGTTTCATCCGCAAAGGAACCCAAACCAGTCACAATGTTCTGGTACGTTCCGCGGACCTAACGGCTACCTGAAATAACTAACTCTGTAACAGTGAAATGGATCCCCCCATTGGAGACTCCATCTCTCGAACGAGCCCGGGTCGATGGACCCTAGGCTCCTTGATGATCTGCGAAAAGGTCGACGATCCAGAGTCCAAGCCGGCAGACGCGATAGCCAGCTGGCAAGATGATGACGGCACTTTCTACCTCCGAAAGAGTTCAGCAAACGAGTTGTCAGGGGCTGGCGATGTGGAGTCTGACAGGATTCACGTCGGGGGGACTTCAGGCGCTGTTTGGTGTCTCGGCAAAGACGCATTCTGCAAGGTCCATGCTTGGTGCGAAGGTCTGGAGCTCGAAGCAAACACGATGCGGTTTGTGAGAGAGAAGGCCCCGAGTGTCCCTATCCCGGAGCTTGTCCATTCCTGGATCGATCACGATCTCAACAGAACCTTCCTCATAACAAAGCGAGTCCCCGGACAAATTTTGGAACGGGTATGGCCGCGCCTCTCTCCGCCCCAACGCACACGGATTGCTGAAGACATCGCGGGATTCTGTGCTACCCTGGCCGCCAACACTTCTTCTCGGTTTGAAACGGTCACCGGATGCGGTGTTTATGAACCAAGGCTGATGGAGAGTGCACCCGACTCCTACCCGACGTGGAAGCCGAGAACCCTTGGGCCATTATCACAGGAGCCCTTGCGTGCCTATTTGACCAAGGCCTCGACGGAACCTGCTCCAGACATCGACCCTCTATTTCACTTTTACCATGCCGATCTCGGGCCGACGAATATCATGCTATCGGAGGATGGTGGCCGGGTCACTGGGATCATCGACTGGGAATCCGCGGCGTATTATCCACGTTTTTGGATAGCCACCAAGCCTGCAACTTCTGGGGCCTTTTACCTTGAATGCGAAACTGACGACCCGAAGCTGTGGGGTCAGCTGCTTGGGCAAGTGCTCGAGACACACGATTACGAGAGAGCCGATGCAGTATTCCGTCGCTGGTATAACTCAGTCCCGTAATTAATTCAGAGGAGGTTGCGAAATATATGTTCACGAATGCCTGTGATCCACCGAACAAATATTGAGCTTCATTTGAGATCCGTGGCCTGTTGCCCCTCTAACTAGTTTCCTCCTGAATCGACACAAGCCCACCCGTGAAACCCAATTCCTTCAACCAACATCGTTTGGAACTTTGCTCTCGAGCACAAAGTCCGACAATCTTGTAACAAATGTCAGCTAGAACATAAATCACAGGGGTAATAAGGCGTAAGTACAGCAGATCTCGGGAGCGAGTTACTCCATCTTGGCCCCGCAGCGTTCACACTTTTTCACGGTGGTGGTGTTGTTGTACGTGCAATTCTTGTTGGTGCAACTCTTCTCGTTCACCAGCTCTGAGGGGGTGGACTGGGCCATGTTGTGATGGCTGGGGAACGTAAGAAGGAGGCTTGAAGGTCTGGAGTCGGGTCTTGGATCTGGGTGAAAGCAGAGATTGCAAAGATGGCTCTGGAGGGATGGTGGTGATTGAAAGAAAACAGATGATTTAGCCAGCAGAAGATGTGGATTTATATACATCCCTGGAACCCATCTGCTGTCCCTCTCAGGTATGCGCGTAGTCTGTTCGGCCAGCGGTTGCACTGTTCGAGTCATATCCAGGAATCATGTGTTGTGCGATCCGATCCAACCAGTTCCTCAGAATTCAAGCGCCTGTCAACCTCTCAGCCATTTCTCGGTGAGTGCCAGCACTGAAGAGCTGTCACCAAGATCGACCAACTCACCCACCCACCTTCGGCCGGTATTCTGGGCCAACAACAACCACATCTGCGCCCACCACCACTTAATTTAGGCTCACCAACAACAACTTAGCCTCCTCGAGGCTCACTACCACCACCTCCAAGCCAACCAGCCCCAATGGCCGGGCAAACTCGCAAAGCCGTCCTCCTCGGAGGGAGCACCGCGGGCAGTGGGACCAAGGCTCCCCCTCCACAGAAGCCCTCACCAACATCCGCGAGACCAGATTCTCCAGAGTCTCCCGACGTGGTGTTAGGCGGTTTAGATCAAAGTCACACTTGCAATTTTGACCAAGCAAACATCCCCAACATTCCCAACCCAAGGTCCACACTCCCTAGGGTAGGTAGTCGGGTGTCTTGGGATCAGCCGTAGGATTTGGTGAATCACAAGACGAACGTCGATGGTCCCAGAAACGACGCAAACAGTGAACCTCATGGAGGCTTGGTATTGTGCACGGTAAGATGAAACATGAGAACGGTGGTTGTTCGGTAAATTCCAGATACAAGGGATCTAGGGACTAGATAGCTATATCTGTATAATCACTCGTTTCGGTAAGCTGTGATACTTCACCAGCTGTTAGTGTTTCACGCTAATAATTCTTATTGTCAGGGTGAAACTTCACTTTGGTTAACACATCTTTGTTGGGAACGCTTCTCTCCCCAAGCCTATCCATCGATTGTGTTAGCAGCCGGCTGTTACTTCCGTTTGGCCCCCGTGTCAACCGAGAGGCTTTATATGGATCAAATGTCCAGTTGGTAGCCACGCACGAGGTCCTGAGGCTAGAAAACCATGAGGTCATGTCATACAGGACAGGATCCACTTATCACCAACAGCCACGGGCCAACCGTTCACGAGGGGCAACCTGAACGGGGTAAGGGAAAGACAAGTAGGGATGAAGTTTGGAAGAGGGTAGTACGTGGGTAGGTGCAGCCGTTCGGGTGTCTCGGAGTGGGCTTGGTGGGTAGGCTTGCGAGGATTTCACGCTTGGTAGGCACGTGGTAGGCAACCGAAGGGGATGAATCAAGTCAACCTCGTTGGGAATCTTTTTATCTGTTGCCAGTTCGACCGTGAACCCGTTGTCAATTTCACCCTCAGTCCTACTGTCCATTCTGCTATACCCAAGCTCAACCACCCCCCGTTTCCTAATCCCGGGAAAAGAACCCTCAAAACATATGCACCCTCACACCCGAGTGAAACATAGCCGGTAGCAGGTTCCTGTTGTCATGGATATTCTCCACCGCCGCCCGCAGCACCTTAGGCGTCCGTTTTAACACCGCCCTGCTCAAATTCCGTTCGAGATGATCGGCCCGCATCTCGTGCAGCTTCTCGGTGAGCACCAGATACGCCGACTCGCCCCACGCCTCGGCCGCCCGCGCCCCCTGGCCCACCACCATCTTGAATAGGCTAGACAGGCTTTCGTCGTCGTCGTCGTCCTCCTCCTCCTCCTCATCATCTTCTTGACCACCCCCCTCCTTTTTCTCTCCATCTCCCTCTCCACCTTTCTTCCCCTCCTCCTTCGCCGGGGAAATCGGCCCCCCTTCTCCCATCATCGCTTCCAGGCCCGCGCGCGCACGCACCAATCCTTCTAGAAACTTGTCTCCCGCCTTCTCCTTCGCCTCCTGACTCCGCATATACTGTCTCACAACCTTGCTCATCTTGCTCTTCTTTCGCTCCATGTAACTCTCCCATACGCCAATGAACCCCGGTTCCAGGGTCGCGTTGCTACCTGGTCTCGGGTTTTTCATTTCTTGTTTTGCTTCCTTTTCTGCTTTTTTCGCTTTTTCTCCTTCTCCTTTTGTCAATTCCTTTCCCTTTTCTTCTTCCCCCTCCCCTTCTCCTTCCTCTCCTTTTCCTTTCCCTTCTCCATCCGTCCCGTCGTGGCCACCCTTGTCGAGGCTAGGAATGGAACCGGGACCAGGACCGGGACTAAGATTGTAGGCGGCCCGACCAAAATCAAACCCAGATCCAGTCGGAATACGCACGCCGTGGAAAGTAGATGAGTCTGCCCCAAGCGTGAAATGGCACAGGAACCACTGGGCACAGGGGGTGTGAGAGAAGCGGGCGAGGACCCATTCGCCTGCGACGAGGTGCAAGGAGGGGTTTTGGATGAAGGTGAGCATGCGCTGGAGGCGGCGGGCTTCGTCCGCCGTCATGTTAGCAGTAGCAGTAGTAGTCGTTCCTGGGTTCTTGTCCTTATTGTCCGTGTTGTCCTTGTTGTCGTCGCTGGAAGGCTGCACATCACCTCCATCTCCCTTAGTAACAGGCAGCGACTTGGGAAACACGACGCGGGTTTCGACTGATTCGATGACGTCGAGTTCTTGCTCGAGGATGTGCCTCTCGCATCGGAAGCTGGTGAGGACGCGGGCGAAGCCGGTGCTAACGGAGCACCAGCCGGAAATCTGGTCATGGCGGCTGGCGGCGCGGGCAATTTGGCGGCGCAGCTTCTCGGGCTCAATCATGGTCACGATGATGCGTTGGATGTCGAAGAGGCCCTCGATGCCGGAGGTGCTGACGGTGATGGGATTCGGGGAGACGGTGCCTTGATATTCGTCCTCGAGCAGGCGGATGTTGCTGGACTGTGGGTGTTGGTTTTGATACATTCCGTTCTGTGAGTGCCCATGTCTCTCATTTAAGGGGATGGATTGGATTTCGGCTGGGAGTTGGTCCTGTTTCTCCTGTCCTCCAACCCCTGTATCTGGGTCCAGAGCTGATAGCCACTTCGTGACCGGTGAGTCGATGTGCTGCCAGAAAAAGCCCGCTCGCTCGGGCTCTGATGGCTTGGATTCCACCTCCTCGCACGGTGGTGGCGGAGGATCGGCAGGGCTCTCCGGGGCCGCCAGGGAGCTCCCGAGACCGGTCTTCTGGATTCCAGAGGACGCTACCTGGAATGCCTTTTTTCCGAGTCCAAATCTCGATGTCTTCTTAGACGACGAGGTTTTCTCCGTGGGCGTGGTTGATTCCGTGCTCCCGGTCCTGCTCAACGACGGCAGCGATGGTATGGAGGGTAGAGACTTCGTGGACAGTATCGCCGGCCGTTTCAAGTTCCAGCTGTCGCTCGAGGATAGCAGACCCGGGCGTGGCTTCGCCTCTTCCAATGCCATCATCTTTCTCGCCTGTTCAATCGCCATCTTCTCCCTCAGAGACTGCTGGTGAATGTACGTAATCACCCGCTTCAGTGGATCCCGATGTACCCTCAACTTGCGAAACGAGACTTTCCCAATCAACTCCAAGATGATCTGTATCCAGTGAATGGGAAGATTCGTTCGGCTCTTGTCCTTGAGAATGTCGATGGTGTCTCGCAGGGTCTGGATGACTGAGTGGTAGGTAGCCATGACCTCGTCCATCTTGTCTTGCACGCGGGCCGCCAGCATCAGGTTATACCGCCCGATCTGGTCAACCTGGTTTGCATACGCCGTTTGAGAGGATGGGTACAGTGACCGACCACGGATGGGGCTACCCATGTCGGTGCCAGACCAGTTGAAAACCGAGACGTCGCTGCGGGAGATGACCACTTCGTCCAGCAGGCGGGCTAGGGCTTTGGCGGGCCCTTCAGCTGGGAAGGTGGGAAACCTGACGCCGAGGATACCCATGAGTGCATAGGCTCGGTCGGTAGCCACGGTGGCGAATCGGTTGCCCGAAAGCTGGAGTACGGCCTCGGCTGTGAAGCCCCGGCTGGACAGGCCCTTTTTCCACGACTCTAGCTGCGGGATCTGGCCGAGTTGTGCAATGTACTCCCGATCGGCGTACACTAGGTCTTTGGTCTCCGCCACCAGACACCTCAGCAGGAAGCCGATCGCGTGCTGGGCCAGGTGCTCATTTCGCTCATTTCGCGCGGCATCGTCGCCTTCTGCAGGTTCGGACAGAGACAACTTGGGAAGATGGTCCCGGAGCCTGGAGTAGCAGCGTTGCCTCGCGTTTAGCTCATCGTTCCCATTATTGACCAGGTCGGCCGTAGCCAGGTACACGGCCCTCGAGATGGCGGCGGTCGAGGTGTGAACCGTCAGATTTGACGGAATCTGGACGCCCAAGTAGTCGAGGAGCAGAATGAGCTGCTGGGCAACTTGCAGTCTCTTGATGACGCCGAATTCGTCATTCCTAGTTCCCTGGATATTGTCTCGGAATCGCTCCCATTTCCCCAGCACGTCCTCGTCGTCTAAGATTTTCTTCAAAACGCTTGAATCCCAATATCCAGCCGCCTGGTTTTCACCACAAACAGATCGGTAAACGTTCCGTTTGTCACCCTCCGTGTATATGTCCAAGAATGGAATCAGCGAGTAGAAATACCCCAGGCTTTCCACCGGCCGGCTCAGGGGCTGCCATGCGGAGTTGACGTAGAAGGTGGTTTTGCTCATGACTAGTTCCTGCAGTGTCCACGCCCGAGTGGCCCACTCAATTTCGCTGCCCCAGATTTGTCCAAATGTGGTAATATTTCCTTCCGTCTTCGGGCTGCCCTCTTTCCCATCCTTCTCCTCCTGCCTTCGCTCCTTCCCTTGCTGAACCTTCTCCTGCTCCTGTCCCTTAATCTCTTCCTTCTCAAATCTCTCCCAATCTTTCACCGCATCGTCCTCGCGAAACTTGGTGTCGAGCTGTACCAGCGTGAACTCGGCATCGGCGTACCAGTCACCCATCAGCGACAACGAGTCGGACAGTTCACCACCGTTGGTCTTGTCGATGCAGCAGGTGTCGCTCCAGAGATAGCACGTCTCTCGCGGCTGGAACATCTTTGTCTTGAAAATGCGGTCGGCTTCCTTCAGCGACCGATCTAGCTTAATCGCGGACTTCCACCGCTGCAGGCGGGATACCATCTCGTCCACTGCGTCGCGTAGATGGCCGTGTGTCCGGAAGTACTCGATATGGTCCCGGACCTTCTTGTGGTTCTCTTGGGCAGTCCGGAGAGCCTTGCTCGCGTCTTTGACTTTGTCGTCAAACTCCTTGACCACCGTCTCGGATTCTCCTCCTCCCCCAACTGCCGTGTCGTTAGTTCCGCCCACCTGGACCTTCATCTTCTCCACAAGCCGAGCGAACATCTTCTGCTCCATCTTCGCAAACTCCCGCCCCGATCTCGCCTTGGCCTCGCTATCCTGCGCTCCACCCAACTCATACTCCGCAGCCTTCGCCTCCAACCGACGCTTCAACAACTCCCCAACACCCACCGGCTGCGCAGCCACCGACATCTCCTGGCCGTCACCACCATCCTCATCGCCCTCACCGCCCCCCAACAACTCCAATTCCGTCACCAAACTCGCCTGCTCCAAAATATCCAACCGACACTGCTCCAACACCAACGCCACATCACTCTTCCTCGCCCCGCTCTTCCTCGACGACCCCCCGACCCCAGCACGTGCCCGCTCCAACGCTTTCTTCCTCGCCTCCTTAATATTCCCTAGGGTCACCTCCGTCCCCTTCCACCGATGCGACAGCATACAATACTGCCCACGCCCCGCTCCACCCACGGAAGGGTACTCCACCAAATTCCCCGTAGCAATGTCAAACATCCGGTACGGCATCGCCTCGTTGCTGCTGCTGTTGCTGCTAGTCCCACCGTCGAGGAGGAACTCGACCCCCTCCAGGCCAGAGGAGGACACAGAAAGCGGGTTGTTGTCATCCTCACGCGAGGGGATGGTGAAAGTGGGTTTTACGAGTGGGGTGAGGACGACGTTGAGGAGAGCGCGGAGTTTCTCTGGGCTCGCGCCGATGGATTCGAAGGTTTTCCGGAGGGTTTCTGCGGTGATGTTGGTGAGGTCTGGACCCAGGAGGGCTTTGGCGAGGGGGAGGTCGAGGGTGAGGTCGAGAGAGGAGGAGATTGTGGACATGGTGGCGGTTCTAGAGAGGGACATGGTGGCGGCTTTGGTGGTGTTGTCTTTCGGTGTGGCGGTGTTGAGAGGGCTGGGAAGGTTGAGAGGGAGAGAAGAGATGATTGTTTCCTGAGGTAGACGAGACTACAGATGACGGTAGGCAAAGGGGGGTTAATTAGGGGTTCTGGCTAGCATGCGGCTCTGCTAGTCAGTGGTAGCCCGGTTCAATTTCACAGGGGGGACAGACCGGACTTTCGGAGGGCTCTCTGCGGGGTACCCATGGGCAAAGCAGTGAGAATGAGGCTCAACAGGGAAGAGGGGAAGAAGACAGAGACCTGCAAGCCTCGTAAGTTCGTACTACCGGCGTTACCGCGGCATCTCACCCGCAACCACTCACCACACTAATTTACCCACCCGATATTTCTTTCAGCTGCTGTCTTGCACATTCGGGACCAATTAAACGACTACCCCGCTGATTTCGCTTCCGTTTTCGTCGCCGGCACCCGTTGCGGGCTGAAGTTGATGCCCAACCCCTCCTGAGGTCGTACCAACCAATGCGGTCCACCGTCCCAGAGGTTCAGCTTTCGGAATATGCACGCGACGCAAAGTTCCCCGCGTTGAAGAGAGAGATGGCCAGATATTTATTACGGTTGACGCGGGTCATTTTAACTCCGTAAGTGGCATGTATTTGGCCGTTGTGCTAATTAATCATTATCAAAGGATAGGGAGATAATACAGGAACTCACAAGACCGTCAAATTTTACACAGGGAAACACCGCCGCGATTCGTCCCTCGACGCACGCGGCACCTTCTGTCATCGCGATGGCGTCCTACCACCGCGTTCTCCAAGTCCACGGCCGGTCCGTCATTGACAAGAGTGCCGAATGCGACTAGTAAGTTTGTTTCAATACCAGTGTGTATGGACATTCCATGTGCGATACTTGGAGTAATAACAAGCCCAAGCGGAATTGACCCCTGGGAAATCTTGATCGACGGAGAGCGCTGGGACGGCAAGATCCGCCTCGTCGGGTTTGTCGACGCCTTCTACCTGTTCTGCTACGCGGGAGAATCGCGGTTCAAGCATGGCATCGTGGTGTACAGTGGGTCATCCTGTTTCTAGCACGCGTCCGGGGAAGATCAAGCTGATTCAAAGCAGAGGACGATGAGGCAATTCGTAACATACTGCAGAGGGCCGAGGTGGATGCCGCCGATATTGGGCTAGAGATGGTGAAAAAGACGAAGATGGACGCGAACGGGAATGCCGGTGTGCTAAACCCAGGTTTCTATCGCAAACACCCTAGCTCGTTGTCTAATGATATGCACAGTCCTGCCCAAGTACTTTCGCTTTGAAAAGGAAAGCGGAGGCCTGGACTACAAGATCACCAGCCTCGGTCACAACTTCAGTCTCAAGACCGAGTACCCCAATTCCGCGTTGCGCAAGATCGAAATAAAAATACGCAAGCCGCAGGACCCAGCCATCAAAAGTGAGCCTTTATCCATCATTACAATTCTATGAGTTTTACAACACCTGACACATCACAGGTCGATTGAAGCGCGGCCTCAAGCAGCACGACCTCTTCGACATGATGCACGATGCCGTCCGCATGGGCATTCTCACACACGCCGAACTCGTTAACGTGATCATCGGCAAGACATACGGGGGGTCAACCCTGAACGATGTGACGGCCAAGTATATGGACAGTCTGATGGGTACCAAGGGGTCCAAGAACGCGACCTTGTCTGGATATTAGCTACTTTTTTCTTTCCTTTTTTCCTAGAATTGATGAAACATAAAACAACCACAATCTTTATGTCTATCAACTAATAACCCTCCCTCTCCAACCTAACCCCATACCCCACCGCCTCAACCCCCCTCACCCTCCCATTCCCCCCTCTCCCAAACACAAAATGATCCCTCGCCAGCAAATTATACGTCACCCGATCCATCATCGCCCACGTCACACACGACCCCATCCCCCACACCAACTGCCCATCCCTGGCCTCCACCTCTTCCGCCGTGGCCCTCGTCCCCACCGCCCGCCACGCCTCTTCCCTCTCCGACTTACTCCCCGTCGCCGGGTACAACCTATACCTCATCGGCGGATCGAGCCGCGGCGGTGTTGCGGGAGGGAGGGTACTACCCGGGTCGGTGGACGGTACATCCACGCCGCGAATGACATATTCCGTGATTGCCAGCCCTGGACCGTCGTTGTCGACGGCGAAGGTGAGGCTCGAGTTGGTATCCCGGTCTACATACCGTCCCGCATACTTCCCTTCCGCTTCCGCCTTGCCGGCTTCCTCAACAGCCGGCACCAACATCTCCACCACGCGGGACATAATCCCCGTCGTTTCCGCCGTGCCCGCCTCTCCCACCCCCCCAGGCCCAGCCACCAAAACGGTTACAACAAGATCGTAGTCGGGGATAAGCACGAGGATGGCGTGGTAGGAAATCAGATCGCCCGTTTTGGTGTACAGTTCGATGAGCCGGCCGTCGGAGGTGATGTTTTCGGCGCGGAAGATCTCCCAGGGTTGGCCGATGAGCAGGCCCGTGGAGGAGGTGGCGGTTACGGGTTTGAGCCATTTGCGCGTTTGGGTTGGGGGGAGGAGGCGGTGGTGGAGGATGGCGTCGGCTAGGCGGTGGAGATCGGTGAGGGTGGAGAAGTAGCCGCCGTTACTGTTGCACCGTTATGTTAGTGAGTAATTCATATCAGGTTGGGCTGAGTTAAAGTAAGGGGGAAAAAGTCACGTACGGCCCCTCAAACCCAAGATCAGCCGGCCACCAGATATCGTTGGCCGGGATGAACCCGAGGGAGTCATCTGGTTTGGAGGCAAAGGTGCGGGTCATGTTGGTGGGTTTCCAGATGTTGTCATGGACGAAATCGACGTAGGACTGGTTCGTGACGGCCTCGACGACGAAACTGAGGATGGGGAACGCGATGTTGGAGTAGACTGTTTGCGGGGAGAAGGGGACTTGGACGGGGGGGCGCTGGCCGAAGTGTTTGAAGAATGCTGGGACTGTGAGTCAGGATGTTGTTTGTTGTGTGTTTACTGGGAGTTAGGGGGTCTCACCGGTTTTGTTACATGCTGGTGTGCCAAAGAACCCAGCACAGCCTAGAAGCCGCGAACTGTTGGTCTCTGGGTAGCCATAGGCCGACTGGTTGACGAAGGGAGTGATATCCGTGATCACTGCCTTACGTTAGCGACATCCCTCATCAACAAGAAAACAAAACCCCTTGGGCAAAAAAACAAAAAAAAAAAAAAAAAAAAAAAAAAAGAGAAAAAAAAAAAAAAAAAAAAAAAAAAAAAAAGAAAAGAAAAGAAAAACTCACAATCCGACGGAATCCCCGCCATATGCGACGCCAGGCCCCCCAACGTAACCTCCTCCCAATCCACCTCCCACACCGCACTCCCCTCATCCCTCGCTTGCCCCGCCAACCCCTTCAACTCCGGCACATACTTCGTCACACTATCGTCCAACCTCACCCCCCTATCCCTCAACATCAACAACGCCAACGGCGCAAACACCTTACTCAGACTCCCCAACCTAAACACCGTATCCCTATCCACTTGCTGCACACCCTTTGCGTCTCGCTGGGGTGGGGTGTGGGTGTATTCGAAGAGGAGGTCGGGTTCGTGGATCGATTTGACGCCGATGGCGAGTGCGGAGGTTTGGTAGGGGGTTGTGAGGTCGTCGAGGAGGGCGCGGAGGGCGGTGGAGGCGGTTGAGATGGAGGGGTGGGTGCTGGGGTGGTGGGGGGCTGGGAGGACGGGGCCGAGGGGGGGACAGTGGCCGTTGAGGCCGGTGGCTAGGGCCAAGGCTGGGAAGAGGGGGATGAGGGTGTGTGAGGATATCATCGTGTTATGCTGCAAAGAAAGAAGAGGGGGGTGATGGTGGTGGGTAAAAGAGAGGCGAGATGGGTTTGAGATCCGGTTGTGTCTTTATACATTGATAGAATCTAAACTACTGAACCTGTCGACGTCAACCTGCTCACCGCGAAAAACCAGCCTCATGGTAGTGGTCCTTCAGCCCCATCCTTCCGTCAAGCATGCAAATTACAGATTACCGACCACCGCAAACCAAACCAGGCGGTGGTCAACCTCCCATGCCACGCATTGTTTAACATGGTACTGATTCGCTCGCTCGGAAGTCGGAACCCAACCCAGATCGAACTCACCACAGTCCGAATCCTATCCGGGCTTGCCTGGCCCATCAATGTTGAGCTATAACCGGAAAAGGAAAGAAAACTGCCTGGGGAACCAATGAAAGGCTTTGTTTGGGCCCAGGCGAGCCAGTTCAGACCTTGCAGTGCTTGCAACGTGGTTGTCAACGGCGTGTGGCGGAGTGGGGCGGAGCAAGCCGAACCAAGTCAAAATCAACCTCATCCTGGCCGGAGCTCGCTCAGATCACGTGATTGGATCCCAAGCACGCTCCTCGGACAAGACACGTGATGACGCGACATCGAACTTGCCGCAGGCAACAGAATACAATTGCATGTCGATCTTCCTTCGTGTCTTCGGAGGCAGGCACCGATATTCGATCCCGATCAATTCTGTACTTCTCACGCCCAATCAGATGCGAACGGACGTGGTCCCGTTGGTTGATGCTTTTCCTTGATTCTCCTCTGACACTCACTAGCAACACCCAGCATCCAGCATGAAGCAACGCGAACCGCCTCAGAGACCCACCCTCCCATAAGTCATACTCGACCAAGACGCCGACGCTATGCAACTAGTTCCATACCGTATCCCTCCACGATTGTAGACTGTCAAACGAAGATTGGCAGTGAATTCGTCCTGCACTCAGACGTTTTAAAGCAAAGCAAAGCAAAGCAGAAACAGAATCACTTCCTCCGCCCCCTCCAAACACAACGCAGCCCAGACGCCAAAGCGGCGACCCATAAATCGGCGCGATAAAACAACAAACACAAACTCCAACCCTTACACAGTGTACCATCCCCCCCACGCCCCAAGCGAGCCTAGTGCCCCGGACGCAGATCGCACACCTCAAACTCGAGGGACCTCGACTCATAGACGTGGCCCTGCGGGTGCCCGGCATCGACGTAGAGGTTGTCAACCGAGTGCGGGTGGAAGGTCTCGCTGCGCTGGCACGACAAAAGGTGAGGGAGGCCGGGTGGGTTGGTCAGGCGGAAGATACCCCATCTACACGCGAGGAAATTAGTTACGGCAAGGCATAATAATTACGGAAACGCATGACCACACGGGTCGGATAGGACCACTTACGAAGGCTCGGACTTCGGCGCGCAGACAATCGCAATACTCTCCGGCATCATCACCTGGTATCCAGCCTGCGTGTGCAAGTCGCGCGAGCTCATGAAGCACGTCTGCGTGGGGTGCGTATGGATCCACCCGATGACCTGCAGATCGTTGGTAATGCAGTACTCGAGCATGCTCGACTCGTTCTCTGTCTCGCACGTGTCTGACGTGCACGTCTGCTCCGGGATCACCAGGTGCGAGATAAAGAGCGCATTGTTGACCGCAGTGCCGCACAGCGTGCCGCACATTTCCAAACCTCGGCGGGTGTTGGGTGCTGCGAGCTGTAGGAACCGCTCGCGGAGAGTGCTCGGGAGGAAGACAGGCCTGACGGGATCGCCATTCTCCAGGTAGGCGGCCGGACGGAAGGTCACGCGTCTGTCGCTTTCCGCGGAAGACTCGGCGGGGGTTTTGGCGGGGACAATGGGCGCTTCCTCGTCCGGTGTATTGTACTCGGAGGCCGTACTCGGGGCCAAGAGCTCCTTACCCGGTCGGGGAGGTGGGAACAGCGAAGAGTCCCTCTCCTGATGGAAGCCCTTGTCGGGCCATGGCGGTGGCCCTGGGGGAGGAGACCAGTCATCCCTCTCTTTTGGAGGTCGTGGGGGTTGGGGCCTAGGCCCATCCAGGCGCTCTCGGGATACAGGGCGCTCATAATCATAATCTCTGCGGGCAGATTTGTTGATTGATGGGTAGTAGTAGCTTGACGGCGGGGCGTAGTCTCGGTCGTCGTCATAAGGTCTCGCATAGTCATCGCTCCGGTCAAGTTGCCGTCGGGTAGCTTCCATTTGCCTCCGTAGTTCATCGTCATCCATGTATGGCTCAGGCGCAGGTTTGCGTTCCTGTTCTGTTCGCAAGGTGCCCCATCGCCCGATCCTAGAGCTATCCCTCTCTGATTCTCCAGCAGTAATCCTACGCCGGTTCCTTATCTCTTTCCTCGCAAGGTCCACCGCAAGATCTTGGTAATCCTGGACGTCGAGGACATCGGCCGGCGAGCTGTAACTCCATGACAAGGCCGGGTCTCTTGCCGCGTGCTTGGCGTATGAAGTTGATGAACCGGAGGTCAGCTGCTTCCTATCTTGCGCCAAGTCTCGCTCGGCGGCTGAAATCTTCCTCCATCGGTCGTAATTATCGTCAATCTCGGGTCGCAGTATTTCTAGCGTTTCTATAACCCGCGGGAGGCGTTTTCCGAGTTGTTGGATGGCTCGTCGCGACTCCAGCTCTTTCGCTTGGGGGTGTTTGCTGAGATAGTGGAGGACAAGCGTGGAGTATCGGTAGAGGAGGAGGTAGGTCTGGGGCAAATTGCCCTCGCGCAGGTACACCTGGGCCTATTGATTTCCAATGTTAGCCTCCCATTCAAATGCAGCCTCTGGGCTCCACGATATCCAAGATTGCTACGCACTTCATGGTGGATGGTTTCCGCGGCTCGGGCCCAGTACTTGAAGCCAACTAGCGGATTCCAACCAAACTCAGTCGCCCTGTTTGTGAGTTCCTTTGCTGTCAAGGGCTCGTGGCCCAAACTCAAGTCCGTAACGTTCATCTTGACATTGATGGTTGTTGGCACAAGAGCACCAACACAAGTCGTATGGTCTGAGGTGGGGTTCTAGCGCAGCCGGTCAAGAACGAAAGGACAGGTGCAGAAGGTCTTCGGTTGTATTCGAGTTCATCGTCGGGTTGAAAAGCGGCAAGACGCACTTTTGAAATAAAGAAGGATGGTCACCAGGAGATCTGCACCACCCTGGCGATCAAAGCACAGAAAGTGCGTCTGCAAGCTGCCTGGTCAAGTTGCGTATCAAGTTGCGTACCACTGAGAGGTGGTTGTATGTTGGTGACCCCGCCATCAAGCTTGACCGCGTTTGGGGGAGCTTCGAAACAGGTGGGGCAGTGGAGTCACCTTGGCGGCTTGCGCGCCCTGCACGGGCCTTTTTTGATCATTGCAGGGGTTCGGGCAAGTCCGTCTTCTGGAATATTTTTGCACCTCACTTTTCAAGAATTATTTTCTAAGACGACCGATCTAACACTGACAGATGTGAATTAAATTGGTAGAAACTGTCAATGAAGCTGTTTAAAAAATACTCGACCGATGAAATACAGTTCATGCCATCAAGTTTTGCGGGAAAACCGTAGTTCGTTTTTCTTGTTTATGATGTCTATTAACTTGCAGTTTAAATACAACAAAAAACTCACTTAGATGACCATCACTTATTTTTCCATCCACCCACCCCACAAGCACCCGGAGTTGTCGGCGAGCGAACCGACGAGGCGAATCTCGCCTCACTTTTTCCCCTGTCACGATGGAAAGCAACTTGCTTCCATGATTTGTTGGGACAGCGTCCTTTCGGGATGAGTCGGGACAAAAATTTGCCCCTGTCCTTGTTTTGGACACGGCACAAACCACACCCTGCCACGGCCTGTTCCGAGTTCAGCCTTATTTTGACAGGCCAGGAGGCTGGAAAAGAGCGAGTGGATGGCGGGAATTGTTGAACGGATATAAAACCACGTGTGTAGAAGCCTTTGTAAAACCCAGATGTCTTCCATTAAGTCCATCATCATCAAGCTTAGCCTACCTACCTAGCCCACTGTGCAATTTGCCTTTGTTTGCTATTACACAATCACCGCCGTGGATATGTCTCGCTTTCCTCAAACTGCCGTTAAATCCCAAGGTAACAAACACTAGACCCCTACCCTTACTCCCTCAGACCTTGGACTGACGTAGAACCGGCCAGCGAGCATCGAGGCGTCGGTGAATTCCCTCACCCTCACCCTGGGCAAGCTCTCCATCCCAGCCGAGACATGTCTCTTCAGTCTCCTCAACGAGACCTTCACCAAGATCACCACTGTCTTCAACCTCGACGATCCTTCAGACGTTCTCGCCGACCCAGCCAACCTCGAGAAGATTCTCAATACCATCTTCGATACCAATTCCGTCCCTCTCGTCACCGAAAAGTCTGTCCGCATTGCCGCTGGTCTTGATGACCATGACCGGTCGTGTCTCTTCATCCAGGCGGTTGCGGGTATGGTCCTGATCTTTCAGCGGCTTAGCCAAGCGGGTGGTCCTGTCTCGGCTCGGTTGCTCTCTCGGGAGCTCCAGTTGTTTGGCGAGAGTGAGCAGCGGCGGGTTGTGCTTGATAAGATTGGGCACAGTTCGGCGTTCAGTTCTTGCTACACCAAAGACTCTCTCGTTAGATTCGTGTTGGAGGCTATTGACACCGGGAACGATGGTCAATGGGAGGTTCTGGATTCGAAGCCTATCGGAGAGCGCATGGTGAGCGAAGAGAGTGCGTGCATTAACGACCGCCCGTGTAAGAACATGGGTTTGCCGTGGGGATTCACGATCATGACGTTGAACTAAAAGGGCAGGTCTAATGTTGTAACAACTTTGTACAATAGTGTCAGCATCTCCATTCTGGGTAGAGCGAAGCGTGGCGTTTTGGGGTATCTATCTGTGTTAATAAAGAAGTCCGCTCTGTCACCACGACCACCCTAACCTGTTACATGTCCCACCAGCTGTAGAGATCATGCCGCGGCTGCTTGGGGGGCTGCTGCTTGAGCACTTGTTTGTACTTGGATGATCTCGCCTTTCTTCTTTTCCATCTTCCCCTGCAATTCCTTGATGTGCTGCTCTAACCTTGAGCTTTATGTTGCGGTTTTGTTAGCTTCTGGTTTCTTTCACTTGTGTTGTTTGACCTGTGTTGATAAACTTACATCTCTTTGTCGATAAATTCCAATCGTCCATTGACGGTACTTTCTGCCTCTGCCTTTTCTTGCTTGAGCAAAACCGGTCCGACAAGCTTGTAGATGGTCTCCCCCTCTTTCAGGTTTGAGAACTCCTAAGCGGGGTTAATGATAACATTTCATTTTGTAGCTCACGAGACAAACCTTCTGCACCCCAACATTTTCTTGTTTTTGAGCCTCTAGCTTCTGCCTGGATTGAACGGTGTCTTGAAGATCTGTGTTTTGTGTAAGTAAACATGAGACTTAACAACGGAGGTTTCGGTTGAGCGAACCTTGCTGGAGCTTGGTAAATTCCTCTGAGAGGGCTTGAAGTTTTGCCTGGATTTCGGCCATTGTGAACTTCGATATCGGTCGTTCCAGGGGGGCACGTGTCAACTTGAAACCGTGAGCTTGAAGACAACGTAAGTCTGTTGAACCACGTTAGGCAGGCGAGACTTTTGGTACGTGTATGTATGTACCTGATCAGGGTGATGATGCTCCGCAGTCGAATTTCTGGAGCTCCCAAAGTTACCTGTTAGTGATTTACGGCTTTTTTGGCGCTGATCCTTAACACGGTCCAGAACGCCCCGCCAACCACAGAGTGGCGTCAGCCCCGCGCTCTCTGTTTCCTGGTCCACGACTGCAGCCTGTCCAACGAATGGCTGCATTTCCCAAACCGAACAGCAACACCAAAACACAACATCACCGGCTCGTGTTTGGCGCTCAACAGACTAGCTCAAGCGACACGTTCACGTTTGTCAAGCTCCCCCCTTAACGGCCACATTGACCGTATCCACCCGATAACCGTCTCAAGAACCCTGCTGGTTGCCTGCGTACCACGAACACCAGCCGAACACATCCACGAATGCCCGATTATCGACCAAACATACACCTTTATCCGATCCGATAAACCGAATTGCCCCCGATGTCGAATACCGACTTTCTCGACCGCGCAATCAAACAGGTCCGTTTGGCCATTGACGCCGACAATGCCGCCCAATATGACAAGGCGTACCAACTCTACTACCAATCTCTCGAGCTGTTCATGCTGGCGCTCAAATGGGAGAAGAACCCCAAGTCAAAGGAGATGATCCGCGCGAAGACGGGCGAGTACATGGACCGCGCGGAGAAGCTGAAGGCACACCTATCGGACGCCGAGGCCAAACGGAAAAAGCCCGGCATGGTGGGAGTTAATGGCACATCAACGGGTGGTACAGGCAAGGGCAAGGAGTCTGGAGAAGATGGTGCTGAGGGCTTGGATGAGGACAGCAAGAAGCTGCGTAACGCTCTGGCTGGGGCTATCCTTCAAGAGCGGCCGAATGTGAGCTGGGACGATGTCGCTGGGTTGGAGGGTGCAAAAGACGCGCTGAAAGAGGCTGTTTTGTTGCCGATAAAGTTCCCACATTTGTTCCAAGGGAAGAGGCAACCGTGGAAGGGAATTTTGCTGTATGGGCCGCCAGGAACGGGTAAGAGTTACCTGGCGAAGGCGGTCGCCACGGAAGCGAACAGTACATTTTTTAGCGTGAGCAGTTCGGATTTGGTGAGCAAGTGGATGGGTGAGAGTGAAAGGTGAGCCGGGATTACTCCTGCGGACGAAATAGAGGTGGTCCCAACATACTAATGCGGCGCTCGTATAGGCTAGTTCGGCAACTATTCGCGATGGCACGGGAGAACAAACCCGCTATCATCTTCATCGACGAGATCGACGCCCTGTGCGGTCCCCGTGGCGAAGGCGAGTCCGAAGCCTCCCGTCGGATTAAAACGGAAATGCTGGTTCAGATGGATGGTGTCGGGAAAGATTCCAAGGGCGTCCTGATTCTTGGAGCTACGAATATCCCTTGGCAACTTGACGCCGCCATCCGTCGTCGATTCCAACGGCGTGTCCATATTAGTTTGCCCGACCTGGCCGCACGAACCACGATGTTCAAGCTAGCAGTGGGCGACACGAACACTGCGCTGAAGTCGGAGGACTTCCGGGAACTGGCAAAAGCGGCAGAAGGGTACTCGGGATCCGATGTCAGTATCGTGGTGCAAGACGCGTTGATGCAGCCTGTGAGGAAAATTCAGCAAGCAACGCATTTCAAAAAGGTACGGCTTCATTCCTTTAGGCGGGGTTACATGGTCAGAAATTAACACTTATGTTCTAGGTTGATCTCGATGGTCAGAGAAAATACACCCCCTGTTCACCAGGCGACCCAGAGGCGGAGGAGATGACATGGGAGAAGGTGGCATCCGAGGAGTTGCTTGAGCCATTGGTCGAGAAGAAGGACTTCATCAGAGCTATCAAGGCTAGTCGGCCGACGGTGTCACAAGAGGATTTGTCGAGGAACGAGGACTGGACTAAGGAGTTTGGCAGCGAAGGAGCGTAACGAGAGACACAGGCGGTTTTGGCGTTCGCGAAAAGGTGGACATTGTTATGGCGGGTACTGCTGTGAGGCGTGCGGCGTTTTTCAGGTCCAAGCATATGGCATCGGATAGGGACGATGGGAGCTCTGTAGATTCTTGCACGGGTTGTTGGCCTGGAAGGGTGCGACACATTGTGGGATTTGGGCCGTTTCGGACATCAACGTATTATTCCATAGCGATCTATGCCAACCAATCTGTTTTAAGCAAAGAAGATATCCGATTTTTGCTTCCGTTTCACGCCATGGTATGGTACATCCCACTGCAGAATAACGAGTCAAGACTCGCACCCAGACATGACCCAAGAACTCCGTTACCTGACCCCAACCCCAGGTGAACTCCAAGAAAGCAGAGTGAAGACCAACCGAAAGAGGAAAAAAAAAGAACACGAGAAACACGACGACCAGGGACCTGCAGTAATAACCTGCTACTCCGCAGCCACGGACTTCCTCTTCTTCTTCTTCTTCTTCTCACCATCGTCGGCATCTGCCATCTCAACGTCCTCACCGCCGAGACTCTTCCGCTTTTTCTCCTTCTTCTCTTTCTTGCTGTCCTTCTTCTTCTCCTTCTTTTCCTTCTTATCCTTGGCGGGCGGGTGATCAACCATCTCCTCGTCAATGTCCATATCGTCACCATCATCCAGAACGGCCTTGACCGCCTTGTCCATTGCGTCGATGTTCTTCATGGGCTTTGTGCCCTTGGCGTACCACTCCAACCGCTGCTCTAATTGGTCACGCATGACCTCACCAAACCGCTTAGTGGGCTTCTCGGAGAAGTTGTCAATACGACTGGCGATCGAGCACTTGTTGGCGAGGTACCGGGAGATCCGGCCCTTGATCTTGGGGCCGGCACGGCCGATGAAGGAGCTCTGGTACAGCAGCCCATATTTAGGCGTCGCACCCTTCGTCTTGAGGGCACGGAAGAGGGCCTTCTCGGCACCGAGAATCTGGAGGGTCGAGGCGGGGTACTTTGCGAGATTGGTCAAAGAGCCGGCGTGGGAGATCAGGCGGGCGGCAACCGGGGTGCCCAAGATGACCTGTAGGTTAGGAGCGACATCGCCCATCTTCTTGTCGAGCGACTCAGCGAGGATACGCCGGTAATCGGCCATCTTCGAGACGTTCGACGCGAGGTCCTTCACCATCAAAAGATCGGTATCGCTGATATCTTGTCCCATGGAGATCTTGGCCGCCTGAATGATGGCCTCGGCCTTGTCCTGGTCTTGATTGATGACATTCGCAATGTCGTCCACACTCTCGTCGGTCAAGCTCTTCTTGTTGCCAATGGCCAGGACGAGCTTCGCGTAGGTACCGTTGTCGGACACGATGCGGATCAGCTCTGGGAAATGCCAGCCGTACCACTCCCGGACGCGCATAGCACCCTGGTTGATGCCCTTGTCAAGCGCGTCAAGGGTAGCGATGCCTTGGATGATATGGTTATCGTTCTTGTGTACGCTGAACTTGACCTTGGCGCGCGAGTAGGCATGGCCGAGACCGAGCTGCGCGCGGTTGATGTCGCCCTCCTGCAAGCCCTTGAGGAGCTTGTTCGCATGGAGGCGAATACCACGGAGAAGGGCAGCAACCACCTCAGAAGTGTCCGCCGCTTCGCATTGAACGCCAGGGAATGTCGCGCTGATCTCGCCAGCTATCCGCTTGTCCACCACACCCAGCACAACCTTGCTCTTCTTTCCACTCGTCTGCGGCAGGTTAAGTTCGAGGGTATTCTTGAGATGGTCTGGCATGATGCCTTCGGAGATCAGATTGATGGCCTCCAAACCGTGGGCGGCAGAACTAAAGGGCATTAGTTCAAGGTTTCGGACAGTGATTGCGTCCCGCATCCATTGCGCGCCAACAACGAGAGCGCAGCAGTAGCAAACGGCACACTTACGTCCAGGGATTGAAGCTACGCAATTTGACCATCTTTCCGAACTTGTCCAGGCTTTTCATCGCATCTTTGACCTCGGGTAGTTCCAGGCCGACGGTGTCGGCTTGGTGCACCACCTCGAAGAGCGAAAACCCGACAGCGCTCTCGAAGAGCAGATAATTGACGACCACCATCTTGAAAAGACGTGATTCGAAATCCCCGGGGGATAATACGTCTTCTTTGGCGTGTGGGTGGTGAGGCGACCCAACACAAATGATTCAATGGCTGCTGGTGTTTCAGGATGCGGGTTGGCACGTTTTCCTCGACATTTTTCAGAGTCGAAGTTTTCGAAATTTTTGCGGCAAGCTTGCGCACGGTCCATGTGGGGTCACCGATGTCCGCGCACCGAGTAAGGCCTCACATTGCGCCAAGTCGCAGCTCTTGTCCAATCACCTGCAACGGCTTTGCTGACCTCCGAATTGATTCCTCCTTCCTCTTTGGGGCTGCCTCCCCATACTCAACGAGTGAATCTCACCTCACGTCTCGGCATCCCACCAAAGAAGGGCGAACCTCAGTTGCCACGGCCCGACGACATTTTCCTTCGGCGTCCTCTCCGTGGCCTGCCACTACTTATTGGTTAAGATACTCGGTTCCAATCCTTGCCCACCGGCAACCAATACACGATTAGCTCCTTGCCTGGAAGCACGCGTCCGCGTTGTGATGTGGACGATCGGGCAACACGTCTGGTTGCCTGCAATCTCCTTGCCCTTCTCTTGCCTAGCCGACGTGACGCACCTCTCGGGAGTCAACGCCTTTCGCAGCCAATCTCGAGAGACTTGTACCTCACGGGACTTGCACCCGGCGCTGCCTGCTATGACATCGACTGAAAACCGGACTATTTTGGTGCTATTAGGCTGACCGAGAGGCTGTATGTAACTCGGCCCTTCCACTGTGATTCACCGATTCAGCTGACACTGCTATGCCGGCGAACCGACACGGGCACACGCCGAGCATGCACGGTTCTCCGACCCAATCTCGACATGGCCAGGAACAACGAAAAAGGAGATTATTTGTTCGATGGAAGATGGCTATGGAGCAACCGGACGGGACGGTGGTGGAATGAAACGTGGTTCCTCAAATAACATAGGCGTCCAATCACGAGCGCGGGCGACTCCCCGAAGATTCAGCTGCCGCTCTCGCACCTTTCCGCTCTCGTCCGTCAGCCCGTCAACGATAGGTGGGACCAATCGCGGCTTCGGGCGAGTGATGCGCAGCTGCGATGGGGAAGTTTTGTTCGTGCCCCTGGCAGCCTTATCCGAGAACAGGGATTCCTTCATGTCATATAACGGCTTCACACGGACGGTGAAGGCGGCGGGGGGGTTGACGACCCATTTCCATGGCCCAATTCCCAATTACCTTCCTTTAATCTGTCCAATTCGTTAGTTGCACGAGCTCAACCAACAGCGCAGCGGAGTTCCTCACTTAGTGCTCCAGTAAGACGAACCACCCTGAGTTTATGACCCCACAGACCGGCCACAACCACCGAGAGACGAAGGTTCGAAGATTTCTGCGGCTCGTGTCCTTCGTTGTCGCCTCTTCTCAGTTTTCACGACTTGGTCGCTGTCGACGCTTCAATGTCATGGATCCGCACCACCCCCAACACGGGAGCCACATCTCGTCTGGCACCTCCAACAGGAACATGGCCGCCGACAATGCTGACACTTCAACTCGAGTCACCCCCGGCGTTCTTCGGTCCCTAACGGCTTCGCCGGGCGCCTTAAAAGAACCCACATCAAAGCCAACCGCCGAAGAAACCGTCATAAGAGATGACCCGGTCAGGGAGTCTTGGCTATCCTTTGCTTCGACCACAGCAAGCAGGGATTCCGTGACGCCCAGCATCTTCTCCGTGAGAGCCTCTATCGCCTCCGGGTCAACCAGATACTCAGTCCGGCAATCCTCGCTCGAGTCGCCCCTCACGGCCACGAGCCCGGACCACCAAGACTACCGGAAAAACAGTTACCCTACAAATCCTCGGTACGCTTGCACCTTCTGTGATTTGGCGTTTGCCTCCAAGATGGATTGGGAATTGCATGAAGCGGTGAACCACGACCAGCCCGAACATTTTCGATGCGCGATCTGCCCAGCCGTCTTCTCACGAGCAATCCTCGTTACCGAACATATTAAACGCGATCACCACGCGGGATCAGACGACCATACGGCTGCACCGGCGCCGTTGGGGGTCAGGCGGAGTGCTCGGGGGTGTGGATTTTGCGGAGCGCTTCTGTTGTCATGCGGCGAGTATTTGCAGCATGTTGGCGGTCATTACGACGAAGGACTCGACAAATCATTTTGGCAACATACCCGTGTTGTTGAAGGGCTGCTCCGTCAACCTGAAATTGCCGCGGCCTGGATAGCGCTGGTCACCAAGGAAGAAGAGTCGCGTGGGGCGAAGCTGAGCTTCCTTTGGCAACCCGAGGCCGGTTCTTGGGCTACTGGCGTTGGGCAGCCCCAGCACCTGCGGGATCTGCTGGAGGTATTCGGGACGGGATCGATGCGGGCAGAAGAAGCCGCTGCTTTAGCCTTTGCCAGTGCCCATGTTAGGGTGGAAGCAAACGTGAGCGATTTGTTTGACAGACTCAACCTGCGAACTCCAGTCATACGTGAGAGAGACACACCAACACGCCCACCGCCAACGACACCGGAGCTGCGGCCAACCTCTTCGGTCACAACTGACGACTTGGTCTCTCCGATTATATCTTTGCCAGCACCATTTCGACCAACGACTGCGCCTCCAAGCGTTTCTGAGCAATTGCATTTGTCGCCTAGACCACCACCACCGTCATCCTCCAACTTCTCCGGCCCCGATGGAGCTCCGACTTATGCCTCCGCGCGGTTGGAACCTCTAGGATTTCGAGGGCCGACTGGTCTCCGCCGTATTGGGGGGTCTCGAGACTTAAGCGCGTCGAGGCAGGTCACCTCGCTTGACCTTGGCTCGCCGCGCGTACCCACGGCCCCATCATCGCACTTCTCGCGCACTCCTTCTACGGCGGTTCGAAAAGCGCTCGCGCCGCAACCTCGTCTACTGGAAACCTTTCAGGAAGTTGCGCCGCATGAAGACGCGGGTCAGGGGCGACTGGCGGTCCCTTTGATGAAACCTCACACCAGCTCAAGCACACTATCAACGCATACCAGAGAAGGGTCCCATGGGTTCGGTGACAGCAACAGCGAACCAGTGTCCGATGATAGCTTTTCGGAGCCGGATACATGGTTGGAACCTAGCGGACCCCCTGCGGTCTCGAGTCCGTGGAGGGACGCGTTCGAGCAGAGCGTCGACCAAGCCATGACACGCCTTTGGGGTCGGTACAACCGTGATTGGGATGCTCTTGTGCGGCAGTGTGTTGGCGAGAGGAACCCGGACTCAACCCAGTACCAAGGCCCCACGAACCAGGCGCGCAAAGGGGCGTCATCGATGAACAACCCCAACAAACGCTTCCGGCCGGTTTCGCGATCACTCCGACAAGACGAGGAGGAGGAGGACGATGACGACGGGGATTCCAATCAGCCCTCATCTTCGTTGTCCCAAATTGGTAGCGACGTTAGGAAACAGTATGCTTGCCCGTTTCGGAAGCATGACCCGCGTACCTACAACATTCGAGATCATGAAATCTGTACGGTCAGGGTGTGGCCGTCGATTTCCAGATTGAAGTAAGCCTTCTCTCGCCTCTCTGATGCAGTTTCATAACTGGAGAAGCTTGCCAAAGCGCTAACCGTCTCGAAAGGGAGCATCTCTACCGCAAGCATTACAAGGTTCATTGTCAACGGTGTAAGACTGTCTTCTCTGACGCGAGGGAGCTTGCCGAGCACGACATGTTATTTTCACGGTGTCGGGTGCGGGACGACATCCCCAACCCTAGCGATATCACGATCCAACAGGAAAAACAGCTCAAGTCGAGAAAACACACTAGTAGGCGACAATCTGATGAAGATAAGTGGAGAGACATCTATCGACTCCTCTTTCCCGGCGAGCAAATCCCGTCGCCATGTAAGTACGCTACACCGGGTTTCTTAAACCAAGCCGTGTCGAGCCGAGCATTGCGCTGATACGAAGTCAGACCCTGAGGTCGCTGAGGACCTGGCTCCGGTAACAAGTGACACCCACATCAGCCTAGACTTTCAGCACTATTTGCTCACCGAAATGCCTGGCTTGTTTCGGAGGGCGGCTGAAGAACACGCCGGCCGGCCCCTCCAACAGCACGAAGGGCTGACCATGGAGTCCATCCCTAGTATCATGAACGATGCGCTCCAGAAGGCGTTCCAGGCGTGGGAGTCCCGGGGGCGACAGTTTCCGAGACCTCAGTCGGAAGACTCGATGTGGCTACTTTCGGGAACTCCCAGCTCACCTGCATACCCTTTTGGGCAACCCAACACATATCATGCGCCTCAACCGGCCGGCCAACTGAGTCAGCCGTTCCTCCAACCAGAGTTTACCTCTTCCGCCGGTCTAGCTGTTGGAGGCTCACATTCTGTGAGCATGACGGATGATCCCGGGTTTGGAGAAGGGCTCTTCCCTTCGGCGCCTCCTGTCACCTTTGACGGGCTTGCCCCGCAGTATGGCAGAGCCCCTTGGGAGCCGAGCCAGGGGATGATGGACATTGGACCACTGGAAGGCGATTTGAGCCATTTCCAAGGTTTCCCGTATGAGTGGCCGGGAATGAGCCAGTCTCAGTAAGGGGTAATTAGTTAGGAAGTTGGTCGAGGTGGTTATAGCATTCCCTGCGAGACAGCATCCTGTCCCAAAGGATATAAAGAATAGAAGAACGCAGATAAATGCGGCAGATGGTAGCTCTCTTACACCGTGCATCTAACTATCAAGAGTTGATGGGAAAGGGGGGGGAACCGGTTCTCCAAATCCGCCGCGACAGAGAGGTAGGGTCGTTTGGGGAGAAATTCATCGTCCATTCTGAGCGTGTAATTATACCCGAGGACTCAGATGACCATTCCAAAGTCCAGCTGAAGGGCCCATCGAACGGTAGAAGGCCGCTTACATCTCCATGCCGGGAAGCTTGTCAAGCCCTGTTGTTACACACACATGTCAGCCGTCATTGAAAGTATTTCGCGGATGTCAAAAAAATAGACAAAATAAAAAGGAAGGAAATTAAAAGAAAGAAAGACGCCACTTACAAACATCATAATCCTCATGCGCCGCCTTCTTCACCTCACAACTCTTCGCCGTATCAATCACCTGCCGTCCCAAATTCGCGCACTGCGCCCCAAAGCACCCGGATGTATCCATCGCCTTCTGCAACGAATCGTCCTTCCACCCAAACACATAATCGCCGTGCTGGCCCAACCCTGTCTCGTCACCCGTGCTGAGAACGAAGGGCTGCGAGCCGTCTTCGGGCCACAGGCTCTTGTCGTTGAAGCCGGTGGTGTCCCAGACTACTTCGTACATGAGTTGGGGGATGCGGACGGGGTGCGTGGAGGGGCAGGCGCCGCCTAGGGAGAGGAAGTTGGCTGGACCGGTGGTGGGGTAGGCGACGTGGTCTTGGTGGTTGGGGGTGTCGAGGTTTTTGCCGTCCCAGCAGCTTTTTTTTCGTGTCAGTTACTTGTCTGGGGCCAGTTCATAATATTTTCCATATCCATGGGTATTGATGATAAGTGTCTGGTCAGGAGAGAAACGTACGTGGGAAAGTGAATGTTAGACCGAATCCCGCCCGGGCAGGGCTTCTGAGGGAATGCCTCGCTGTCAACGCTGTCGTCTTGGCAGGGGGCGCCGACATCACCGCCAAAGTTGGGGCCGGTGTAGCAGCGGTAGCAGTTCTGCCGCTTCAAGGTGGTGTCCGGACGCGAGCGCATCGTGGGGTCGCCGACTAGCATGCGGAAGCCCTGTTTAGGTAGGCAGCGTTAGCTTTTCAGAGCTCGTTACGTTGTGGTTGAGTGGGTTTCTTTGGGTTAGGATAGGGGGTGCTTGCGTACTGGCTTGAAGGCGGTGATCTTGCCTGGGTCGGCTGAGACGTAGTAGACGAGAATACCGCCCGCGATTTGGGTGCTGAACTGGTCGTTGAACTGTAGTCTACGCGGGAGTCAGTCATGTTAACTTCCGCCTTCTTCCATACCCTTTCAACCCCCATGCATTCCACCAAGGGTCACCAAGGTCACCTACGCAGCACCACCCTGCGGAACCCGCTTATAACTCCCATTCCGCGCCTTAAAATACAGATTCGCCGTCCAGTAATTCGAAAAATCGTCCGCAAACTGGCAAGTCGTGCAGCTCGCGTGCGACGAGACGTCGTCCGTGGGCATGGTGACGTTGAACGCGTTGCCGCCGACAATCTGATGGACGTGTGGAGAAGGGACCTGACCTGGGTTGACGAGGGGGTCGATCCGGTCGATGACGACTTGGGCGCAGCCGAACCGGAGCATGGTCAGGCCGCCGCCGCCGCCGAATTGGGGCGCGCCTTCGGCTAGGGCTGCCGAGAGGGCGAGGAGGGTGGAGTGGGTTGTCCACTTCATCGCGTTGGGTAGCGAGAGTCGTGGTGTGGTCCAGACGTTGTTGTTGTTGTCGCTGTTGTCGACGTCGTGGGTTTAGTCGATCAACGGGGGAAAGGTCCAAGGGTACTTATTTGGGTGAAGGAGTATTTATAACACACGGAGAATAAGAGGACGATTGCAACAAGGAAAACGGTTGGCGGAAGAATCCAAAAGATATCCTCCACGAACGACCATCCTCGTTCTATCTTATACTCTCAACGGCCGGCGAATCAGTCGGACGTAGAAGTAACCTCCAGGTGCGATGCGGCAATGCCCAGACACCCCCCACTGACAGAACCGCCAAACTCCGGCTTGGTTGACATGACCCAAAGTGCCGAACCCATGGGGTCACTGGGTTGTAAAGAGGTAATATGTTGGCGGATATTGTTGCTATAAGCCAGAACCTATCAGAGGCGTTGGTTCGACGCGGGCATGCTGAATCCGGATTCGGTGGGGTAAATCCCAAGGGTAGCGAGGCAGAGAGACGACGTTTCAAGCCGGTTCTTGACGGCAAATACCACCCTCCCGACTACATGCTGTGATAGGTGCCAAGCGCCGCCGGTCGCCCGACGGATGGGACCGAGACCGGGATGACGGCAAATTTTTGATAGGATGAGCATAATGGGGGTTCGGAAAATAAAATAGAAACGAGCACGAGGCGGTCATGGGGAGGATGGTGGGTGGGTGTGGAGATGCCATATTTGGAACCTCAAAGCTCCGAGAACAATATAATCGTGGTTAGGCAGTGGGATAGAGTCACATTCATCAAAAGAAAAAGGCCCGACGTGTTGCCCGATTTGACCGATATCTGGGATGGCGAAGCGATAGGTACAGTCTTTCGCCCATGTTGTATTAATATCCATTGAATCGCTAGTGGTCCAGCGAGTTGCTTGGCTGATGCAGTGACCAGACGAAGACCTGGTTCTCACAAGCTGCTAGGTGACAGCTATTCCGACCCAAACCCTCCGGATGCCTAGTGGTTGCGTTTTGTAGCAGACTTTTCTCGCCCACCCAGGTCGATGTAATCATGCCCGAATAGATGAAGTGCTACAGCAGAGTAGCAATAGGCGTGATTCCCACGCCTTGAGAAGCGTCTGGAAGGCCGAGCCGGCGCCGCGAGTGCCGGAAATGAATTAGGCCAAGAACCTGACAGAAAAGTCCCGCCTGACAGGAACAAGCAAGCTGTCAGATACAGCCGGTTGGGAGCTAGGCGAGCGGGTGTCCTCGCCCCCGGCAGAGAGCCAACCCCGGAAGAGCACAGGCGGAAGGAGGGAATCAAGACACAGCATATCGGGCCGTTCCCGATATGAATGGTCATCCCTACTTCTTCGAGGCCTCGGGTTGGTAACGCGAGGTATGTCGCGATCGAGTGTAGATAATGGTACACGAACGGCTTTTAACAAGCTACCGGGCTTCTGATGAGTGTCTCCCAAAATATTTGGTGTCGAAGACCACGTCAGCCGCGGCGTCTGAGTTATCTCAGAGCATGCGTTGAACTATTAAGATCACACAACAGCGTAGGCGGAGGCGGGAAAGGGAGTGTACTAAGGCAGATTACTGTTACAACTCGAATCTAAGTAGGCTACGATGTAAGAACGCGAGAATTTGATATGCCATGCAGGGGCGGTTTTCCAATGAAAGATATGTATCAGAGTACATGACCACTGCCTCGAGAGCATCCGAAGCGTCCGAATATTACCGAAAAATCGGCAAATGTCGGCTACCCAACGACAGTATCATGAGTGTCATCAACATTCTCCGTCATGATCCCGATGGCCTTGATTGTCATATTTTCCTAGGTGTGTGTGAGGTTAGCGCTCAAGTCCAAACCGCCGGACCGTCTCGGACGGATGGGCTTACCTGGACGGCATACAGCCCGGTGATGGCAGTTCCTGGCGTGGAAGCCTCGACTTCTGTTTGGGGTTCGGGATGGTGAATGGGGCTGTCTTCAAAAATACACAATGTTCGCCCGCGGTTTGTCCGCACCTTGGCAAATCATCTCTGTTAGTGGCGGGCCTAACCCAGAAGATTACGCCAGTGTGAAGGATATAAGGATAAACGAAAAAAGACATACTTCGAAGCGCTGAACGAAGGAGTCTATTTCCTCACGTAAGGCAGACCGATATGCGAGATAGTTTATCTTAATGGCCACGATGCGCTCTCCTCTGGGGCCGTCAATCGCAAACGAGGCGGTAGCTTCGTTGCTCCGTACCCGTGAACGGCCGAAGCGCTGATGCGCCTCGGGGACTGGCCGGTCAAAGGAAAACACAATTCGAAGCAGAGAGCCGCGGGATTTCACTCCTGTAATCCCAATCAAATGCCGCAGGTACACCCCACCGGGTCCCCCGAAATGACAGTGGAAGAGGGGTTTAAACCCAATTTCGCCGTAATCTTGCAGGACAAATGTGTCGTCATTTAAACTGACCGTCTGAGATGGAACAGAGGGATACCATAACGATGAATCCCGGAGTCCGCTCTGACCTGGACACTTCATCCCGGAGCTGGGAAGTCGTGTTTTAGTGGTGAGGCTGACAATCTTTCCGGCCTAGGAACCCGTGGTTAGCATCGGTGATTACCCCGTTCTTGGCCTTGGCCTGCGCACTTCGAGGCGCTCAAGACAAGGAGGGTGAACAGAGGGACATTACATCAAACCCCACCACGATGCCTATCACGCGCCCCCCCGTGACCAGTCGGTCGGTCTGTAGGGTATCATCTAAAGATCCAAGCCAGGGAGACTCCGACTCCCCGGGCCCTGTGACGCACTGGAGACCCCGAATACCGCGGAAACCGAGGGCTACTCGGAAGCCCCACAACTCCTTGACCTGAACCGATTGCACGGAAGACGACGAGTATCCCAAGTGAACCGTATCGGTAGCCGTGGCAAACGACATCCCTACAACATGCACTTCGCCGCCGAACGAAGCGATATGGATAGACAGGCGTTCTAGCAGTTTCGGGATGGCAACCTTTTGCTCTGTAAGCAGCGTGCATCCCATCCCGAAGCTATGAGAAAACAGCCCGCCAACTTCATTGTGGACGTGGCCCGGGTGGGTGTCGTTTACGGCCGCGTCGAAAGACCACTCCTGCGGCAGGGATGGGGGCAGGGGATGCCACGTGAGCGCCACAATGCTTTCCACTTGTTTGAGCAGCCCCCATATCCTTCGTCTGTTGATCAGATCACGGGGAAGATGCGCATTATCTCGGGTGCGGCGGTACAGGGAACGCCAGTCAGTCGCCGGCCCGTCTCTCGCCTCGAAAAGCCACGACCGGCTCCGTGGCGCTTTAAACCGAGATATCCAGAAGTGTTGGTCGTAGAAGATAGGCCAGAATGCCCGCGATACCAAACGGGCTCGGAGCGCGTCCGCCGTCGGCAACAAAACAGCGATCGCGTTGCAAAGCTCTTTCGGGAGTGCCAGAAATGGGTCTTTGGCCGAAGGGCGCGATGGTTGCGTGGCTGCTCTCCGCAAGGCAATGTGCGGTTGCTCCGGGGCTTTAGAATTCAGCTGAACAAGGTGATGGAATCCAACGGTCTGGGAAGGGTCATCTTCAAAAACAGGATCCGATCCAGGCAAACCGAAGCTAGCGGGCGCTGGCGGTGCAAAAAAGGGGGAGACTTCCCAGGGAAAGTAGTCTCCAGTGTTTATCAAAGCAACGCCTCCATAATCGTGACCCCAGAAAGCAGGCTGAGCCGACAGTGTCGACTCGCTAGGAAGGGATCGGAAGACATCCAACAGTCTTTCAAGAGGAATTGGGAGCGGGTAGAAGACTTCTTGCAGGAGTCTCCAGCAAGCGTCATGGAAAACAAAACCCTCCCCCAACTGCCAGTTCCTCTGGGTTGTTACAGAAACGTTCAAATCAACATAGAACGAGTACATATCCAATGGCCCAAGTTCGGGGTCGTCCCAGCGCTTGTTGCGGTCGCGAGGGGCGCGGAGGATGCGGCCACGGGGCAGCATCGTGGAAAATTGACCAACTCCGGTCAGGACGCGCCCCGCGTGATCAGAGCAAACTGTAGACGTGGCATCATTATTAGTGAGCAACCCGAGCAAACCGGGGAAAACGCAAGGCAAACTGACGTCCTCGAAATTCACTGGTCCATTGCGATGGATTGGTATTCGTTTCCCTCGCCTCGATCATCCATCCACAAAGGATGCAGGACTTCCAGATACGGGCCATGGTGTCGGGAAATTTAGATCATAGAACAATTTCAGACATAGCGGAATAGAGTCAGCCACCGCGGCAGTGATTTAAAAATCTTGTCGGTTGAAAACGGGCGATGGTCAAGAGGTGACTTGTGAAAGGTGAGCAGGCTGCGACCTTGTACAGACTGGCACGCGCCAATCAGAGTCATGGATTGGCGGAAGCAGTGGGTCCTCCCTTGAAAACTGGTGGCGGTGCGTAACGGGTGTGTAATTACGTATAGGCACCACGTTATCTCATCGCATCAAGTGTATTGATCGCAAGTTAATTACATGTCACCACAGCCTCTTCGAGAAGGAGCGACGCGGGCCATACCGCCATCGTGACATATTCAGACTTTCAGGGAAAGATCCAACCAGAATTCGTTGTAACTTGCTGAAGAAATATTAGGAGCCATACTACTTTGCTCAAACGCCGACATTCAGGAAGCACCCTGCCTCATAGCACGGCTGATTAATTCCGGTAGTAATTGTCTAAGTATTTACATGAACATACATGTTCCTATGTCTACAACCCAACAATTACCCGACCTTTCTGTGGGCAAACCGGTGTCTGTCCTGGGGTGATCGGTAAAGTACAGGCACTTCTGGTTTTCGCCCCTCCATCGTCGTTAACTAAAAGTAGCGAGGTGGCCATCACCCTCGCGGCCTTGCCCAATAAAGGTCCGTTCAAGTTCGCTACTTCGGCGACAAGACACAGTCGACAACATGACCTGATATCCACCCCATCTCCCCTAACAATATATTGTCGATTAGTACTTCGGAAAGTTCTCTGGCTACTCATCCGCTTTCTCAGTCATCGCTCCAAGTGCGGCGATCTTACTACCCGACTAGTTATGCAGTGTCAGGTTTGCTTTTCTCCGAATGATGGCTTTGATGACTTCGTAATTAGATGGATATGACGTACCTGGGTGCCGTAGAGGCCCGTGATCACAGTTCCGGGTGCGGCTTCCACGGAATTGACGCGGACATCCCCCCATGGAAGGGGAGCCCGGAAGAGATCAAGAATTTGGCCCCGATTGGTGACGATCTGATACAACCAAGTTAGTGAAGATTCTGGGAGGTGAGAAGGGAAGAGGAAGAGGTAATGTGGAATGAAATAATTACCTGCAAAGCCACTAGTCGCACCCGCCCTGTGAGAACACTTATCGCCACTTTGTCTGGCGCTTGATGGGTAATTCTGACAGTTTCGATACGCTCGCCCCCGGGCCCATCGATGTCAAATGTGACCATCTGCCTGTTCCCGGTGCCCCGTGTGCTGCCCAAGGCCACAACCCGTTCTGCCAAGTTATTGCCGAAGGAAAATTCGACATAGAATAGGCCCTGTGGTGAATACATGCTAGCGATTCCGACCAAGCGCCGGAGATCACGTCCGCCGGTGCTACCGAAATGGCACCAAAAAGCTGGGTTGGCTGGACTGCGTGACCATACCAATGGAAACGTGCCGTTGTCGTTCAGGCACAGATTGTGCGGCGGTATGTTGGCGTACCACAGCATTGAGCTTTTCATGTCCAATAGCTGTGGCGTGGGCGTCAAGACCGTGAAGCCCATCATTCGAGTGCTCTGGGAGTCGTTAGCATTTCTTGTTCTGTTCACTGCCAACTTCTGGGGGGGGGAGTTTTCATACGTCAAACACGGCCTTCATACCATCGATAGGGACAGTCGTTATGAGCCGGTTGCTTTCCATGCCTTCACCCTTTGATCCCACCCAGCGGGATTCTGTGTCCTCCGGGCCGGTCATACATTAAAGCGCTTTCACGCCCTTTCTTCCCACAAAGACACGGAACCCATACAATCGAGACAGTTCAACCGACTGGTGTGAGTGGGAGGCGTATCCCAAATCGATGCTTTCTCTGTTCGCAACCAACGAGAGACCAACAATGTATTCCCCGTCCCCGAAGGAACAGGTGAAGATCGTCAGCTTGTCCAATTGTATTGGGATCGATATAACCTGTGATTTATACTCAAGCTTGTGGTCACACATGAGCCGACGGGTGGTAAGGCGTTCCACCATTCTTTGGCAGTTCCGGTCGCGAATCCCCACATTAGTCGTCCAAGGGGATGGCCGTTCCGCGGGGAGGTCTCGCCAGCGAAGGGCGACGATGTCCGAAAGTTGGCCAGCCAGCCCCCAGATCCTCCGCCGGTTCTGAAGGTCGGGGCTTTTATTGATTACCGTCCTGTTTGCCCGGTGATAAAGCCATCGCCAGTCGGTTGGCTGCTGGCGGCGAGTCTCAAAGAGATGACCGAGGGGTTCCGAAGCTTCGAATCGTGAGATCCAAAACTGCGGATCGTAAAAGACTGGCCAAAATGCCCGAGAGGCCAGGCGAACGCGAAGGGCATCGGACGCCGGGAGTAACACGGCGATGGCCATGCAGAGTTCCATTGGCAGTACGAGAAAGCAATCCTTTTCCTTGTGGTTCGCCGGTCGAGGTGACTGTCCGGCGGTCGGCCACGCGGGCGGCTCTTGCGGAGTCTCTGAGATCAGACCAAACACTCTAGTACTGCGATGGGGATCGTGTAAGAACACTGGGGCCGATCCAGGGTGGATACGGGGGCTTGGTGGTTCACGGTGCCACTGCCATGGGGCGTAGTCTTCGGGTTCGAGGGCCACGGCGCCGCCGAAATTGTGGCCCCAGTCGAGAAGGACGTTGGGACCAGCGGGGTGATAGATCGGAAGGGAGATGAGAACCTGGGCCAGCCTGTCGAGTGGGATGGGCCTTGGCTTGCAGGCTTCTTCGAATAACCGCCAGCAAGCGTCGTGGAATAGGAAGCCGACGGGGATATCGGTTTGGGGTACTGGGTTCCGGTCGAGGGCCGATATCAAGTTTCTAGTCGACGGCTGGAACTCGTCATCGCTCCAGTGCATTTGAGTGTCGAAGGGGGCGTGGACGGTTCTGCTTCCCGGTTGGGTGTGTTTGCCGACACCGGTTAGAAAAGCGACAGGGTCTTGGGTTCTAATAGTCCGAACATAGACTACAGTTGAGTTAATCTGAAGAAGCTCTTAAGGTCTCATCGGCGGCGGTGATGGGAAAGTAGTAATTGGCTTACCTGCACGAAACTCGTTATTCCACCGGACGGGACCAGTGGGTTCGGCCGCAAGAATCTGGCACCCACAGAGCGCGCAAATCTGGTGGAAGTATGGCATCTTGTTGTCGTTACCGGTGTCCAAGTCGCAGCTAGATGATTGGATTTAGGAAGAAGCTAGGAATCTAAATCGGAGATCGAAACGAGTGCCTTGATGGAATTAGGTGCCGAATAGATTTAGGAGGAAGAGGAAGAGGGGAACAAAGCGGGAAGTTGTGAGAAGTGGTACCTTGACGGAGCAGGTTTTTATTGGGTTGGCACTAGGGCATGGGGAAACCCGTCCGCTCGGAGAAGAGATGATAATAGCCGTGTTGTCCAGTCAGCCTTGTCAAAAGCATAAAAGATGTAAATACAAACCGGAACTTGTAAAGTTCGCCTGGCCAACGTGCGGTGGTGGGTGGCAGGCTTCTTCAAATAGCTGCCAGCAAGCGTCGTGGAATAAGAAGCCGACAGGGACATCGGTTTGGGACACGGTACCTTTTATGCAGGTCGATAGAGAACCTTAGATAGTAAAAAAGGTTGACCACTTCCATGGGGGGGCCGTGCGGCGGGGACCCGGCTTACCTACCTACACGGATGTTGTTAGCGAGGAACCATTTAAGCTTGGGTGGACACCTTGAGTATTCGAATCTTCCCCTGTTTAGATTCCTCTGCTTAAGTATCTGCGTCTGTTCAGGGCCATTATGACCCGGAGCCGCCGGGTCATCAATAATGGGCAGTGCCCCTTGCCAAAGGGGTTGCACCACTATGGCCATGGACAGACGCAGTGTCCCAGTCCTATCATCAGAACACTGGTGTTCTTCAAGGAATCTAGCAAGTTCGATCATGGCGTTACCCGAGCAGGGAGAGCGATGCTCAATCATAAGGGGCATCGGCGAGGTTAAATACCTCCTAATCAAACTCCTACGCAATTACCAACAATTTCCCCCATCTAGAAGCTTCACTTCGCATTCTCTTGATGTTCATGGCCACCGCTCTCCCACTGTTTCAGATTCGGCCGATCACGTTGTCGAAAATACCAATTCTGGGGAATCTGGTCGTCGTGAGCGGCCACGACCAAGACCACGACCCAGTCGCCCACCAAAACTGTGCCGCAGACCTGGCCGCCCAATACGGCCCCCAGCTTCAATCGACTTCATATAGCGGCTACGGCCTGACAATTTTGGTTTAATTGACTCCATACTTTACCATTACACACCCGTGGGAGGAAAAACAGCGACCAGTTGATGAAAACCCCTGGTCGTTCGCTCTCCCTAGCCTAGTTTGGTCGACGCACATCATGGTCCTTCACTCCACCACCGAGATTCAAAGTCGCCGATCCAGTTGCGAGCCTTACTAACGGTGCAATGGACCCAGAAGCTCAACTCATATTTATCGCCCGCATCTGTCTCCTTGAAGGATTCTTTTTCCACTCATAACACGCGCTTCACCACCAGCGCCCAACAACTCCTCTTACACCTAATACGCCTAATATCTACCTGGGCTGGTCCCCTTCCCTTCTTTAACATACACTTAATACTGCTACCAGCGAAAAAGGAAAAAAAAAATAATCTTAATTAACATCCCCTGACACACACCACAACATGTCCATCGTCATGAACCTCTCCGCAGCCCTGCGCTCGCGCCAGCGCATGGCCACGCGGCTAGGGTTCGAAACGGTGCGCGAACTCGAAGGCTGGGAAGAGGAGATCGTGCTGGACCACTTCGCCAACTTTATCTGCGATTACCTCGCCCATGGGTACACGGTCGAGCCAGACAAGCGCGACTTGGTGAAGTTTATCGATCTGGAGAAGTCGGTTGATGAGCGGATACAGATGTTGGAGGAACGGAGGTTTGAGATGGTATTGGATCCGGATAAGAGCGAGTGTATGTTTATTTCTTCCTTTTTCTTTTTCCAACTTTACTACTTGAGCGATCTTGACAACTGACTTTGGATTCACAGGGACGGCGCGGGACCATTATAAGCAGTTTGTCATCGGCGTGGTAGCAGATGATTACTGGCTCGGGAAGTACGAGGTCGAAGGGGCAGTGCTTTGGACACGGGGCTGGACACCAAAGGAGACCACGATCAAGATGATTAGGTTTCTCGAGTTTCTCGTGAAGGAATGGGCAGATGGGCCAGGGGATAGCTCGGTCAGGGAGAAGACACACGCACCTAGGTCCTAACTGTGCCTATACCTTTTGCATGAAAACAGGCGTTTTGGGTAGCATATGGAATTGGAGTATCAAAATTAAGGTTGGACATCCACTTGCATAACACACAGCAATGACGACTCATTTTAAAGTGCAGGTGCAAATAAGTTCTAATAGTGTATTGTGCGACTTGCGTCAACATAGTAAAATAAGTACTGAGATGAAGCCAAGACCGTTTAGAAAATGCTAATATGCCAAAAAGGAGCGGACCGAAGAGAAACCCAATGCTCTCGAATTCCTCTTCCCAAACCCAAACCGGAATATAATGCTCCCATTTCCCAATCCATGCAATGTCAACCCCGACTCAACAGCCCCACCACTCCTGATCTCTTCCGCTTAGACGCTGTCCACGCAGAACGGAATGCCGTTCAGGTACTCGCAGTGCGTCTTTTCCGGGCAGGCGCCCACATACTTAAGCACGTTCTGCGTGTCGCAGACCTGGATCGCATAAGGACCAAAGCAGTCGTACTTGCCAGGGGTCTGGCACTTCTCGCCGGGGCTCTGGCCGGGGCGGCCGTTGCGCTTCTCGACAGCGGGCTCCGGCTCAGTGCAGAAGGGCAGGGTGTAACCGTTCTGCTCGAGGTCCTTGCAGACTGTGTTGTTGGGGCAGTCGCCGACGTACTCCCACTGGTTGGAGACGTTGCAGATCTGGATGCCCGCGTTGGAGCTGCTGCACGCGTAGGTGCCGAAGGTGCAGGTGTCGGTGCGCTTCTCCGAGGGAGCAGCGACGGCCGAGGCGGCGAGGGCAAGGGCGGCGACGATGTACTTCATTTTGATGGTTGGTTGGTTGGTTTTTGGTTGATGGGAGGCGTTAGTTGGGTTGTTGGGATGGTTGGTTTTGTAGTGTGAAGATGTTGTGATTGGAATGGAGGATGTTGTGATGATGATCCAAAGATGAGCTGAACTTAACGGGAGTCCTGGTCCTGTTATATACTCGAGATCAAGCACAAAACGACCTTCACATCTCAACTCTTTCGACCCCATGTCATCCTAAGCCCCGCCCCAACCCTCTGGGCGATGTCCACATGGCAGAACCTTGATCGGCATTAGGGCTCAGTCGTGAATTTCCTTCTCGAAAGACCCCGTGACTGATCGGGATACGAGATGTCCAACACCGCCAAATCCCAAATCCAGCCAAGCCACGACTCTGCCCAGCATAACACGAGAAACCAGCCAACACAACTTGTTGGGTAAAAGTTCCAGGTAATGCCCAGCGAGGAAAATGCCTCGGACCAGTCAACAGGTGAGCATGCTGTCTTTCCCGTCATCTTTGGTCTTCACCGAACGCCATACGTAAAAAGAAATCGGCATATCCAACCAGGTGAAGAACCGCAAAATCCTTTTTTAGTGTCCGATGACGCCCATGAGCCCAGGACACGAAGTGAAAGAAAAACTCCCTCCCATGCTCACTGCAGACACGTTCACAACCCCTGCCCAACGACGGCTTGCCACTGGGCAGCCAGCAAGCAAGACGCTGGTGAATACGAACAGGGCCTAACTATTTTTAGGCCCCCGCATTTTTTTAGGCGACCAGCCCGATTGAACCGAGCCTTCGGGATCTGAGCATCGTCAGATTGGTCCCATGCAGCAGATGGCGGGGGCGGAGTCATCATCCTCATCGGATGGTGGGGCCAATAATAATTTCCCGATGAACCACTCCAAATATCGTTCTGGTTGCCGGCGAATGAGACTCTAATCCAACTTCCGGTTGATCGCGGCAGCGAACAACGCAGGTCGGGGTTTTTTTGAGTTGACGCGGCATCTTATTACTCGGATCCCAAGTCTTGAACTTCGTGTCACGAGTCATGGAAGCCATGTTGCGATTTGGGTTGTGGGTGACGATTGAAGGGACACAAGTCACACAAAGGCCGAAGGATGAATCTGTATTTGTTCGTAGACGAGAGTTGCAGTGGCAGCTAATTAACACTTAGTTAATCGTCTCAGATCTCCGCTGTCAGCGCCACGTTCACCGTTGTGTTTCGCTACGGCAAAGTCGGCAAAGTTGTGAAATGGGACAAAGACAGGGGCCGGGTTGAACTGTGAGCATTGGTAATTATCGTAATTAATGTTAAGGACGTGGGTAACAAAAGGCAGGATTCATTGAGCTTTTGAACAATGGGGTAATTGCCTAATTACCTCCACTTCATTATCAGGGGAGTGAAAACAAAACAAAATGGTACTTGAGAAGTCATTGGTAAAGTCAACAACATTCTGAATGGATGCTGTAGTGAATTAATTACTTGGCTGAAATTAATGTACATCGAAATAATTTTATAACAAGCGACTCCGGGCGAGATAAACAAATAATCAGGCCAAAATGTCACTCCCCCCTCCCCCAAAGGAAAATATGAACTGCGAGAAAGTGCAGCACGATGCGAGACCTTGTCTCATCGTTTCTTCATGTTTCGTCTATGTAATTAATCTTTGTTTTCTAGACTGAAACCGTTCACCATAACAATCTTGTAACTAGTAATTAATTGACCCGTAACGACCCTTTGAAAATGACCCACTCCGGATGCCGTAAAAAAAAATCAACGTCCCGATTCCCCCCAATACCTTTCCTAAGGTTTTTTAACCTGCCAAAAAACTAGTAGAATGGTAGACTGCATTCTCTCGGCTCTCCAATCTCGCCGACTCACATCAACCTGCGCTTGATGGTGCCAGTTTGGGGCATATCTCTCGGTGCCAGTCCTGAGAGCAGTTGCACCAATCCTGAGGTTACACGGGTTTCCCTCCACACCCTCGGCATTATCGGCTACGGACAAGTCAATTATGTTCCGACTCCGCGTTGTTGGTGCTCGTGACAATGGAGCTGAGGGACGGAAAATCCGGTGTTCCCGTAATCAAATTGAATAGGTCCCTTATTCGCGAGATCGATGCTGGTGTGCAGAGCAAATGATAACTTTGCAAGCCCGGACTCCTAGATACGTTTTCCCAATATTTTACTGGATGAGAACCCGTTTGCGTTTCCAGACCGTTGCCGCCTTTGTAAAGACCACAAATGGCGCCGGCGACAGGGATCGAGAGTGGGTTGAGTACGCGAATCCTTAGCGCCGGAGCAGGCCGGCCGGGCTGGGCGCCGAGTGGTGGAGCCTAGATCGGGATCCGGGTGGGGCAAGTTGGACGGCCTTCCGGGTTGTCGACCGGGTTTTACTCGGGATTTTGCTTGGTTCTTATTTTAAAACCAACTGCCTACCTATTCGTTGATCCGAAACTTCTAGGTGGGCTTGTTACAAGCTTCTGCAACAACGTGCCCCGCAACAGTCTTCTTCAAGGCCGTTGATCCTGCCCCTGAGTATCAGTGCCGGGCCCCTGACAAGACGGGCCTGGGACGGATGTAAATCTCGTTACTTTGCCCGAACTATGTCCCAGGAATGGCCTGCTGCCGAGGAGGGCAGAGCAGATGGCTCGGTAGTCGGGAGGGAGCCGTAAGATGTTGCGCCCGGGCTGCGTAATGCACTCTCCCTTGAGGATAGATCTTCCTGCCATTGTAGCTGATGGTCATGCTGGTCAGGAATCACGGTGCCCCAGTCCACCGCGCGAGAGTTGTTGTTTTGTGTGAGAATCCGTGGAGTGGGACTTGCATCCGGGCCAGCCTGGCCTCGGTAGGTGATGATAGTGTTTTGCCAGTCCCACAGAATATCCTTCACACGGACATACCCGGTGTGCTCCTCTGAGGGAAACTTGACCATGTTGGCATGGTTGGTGTGGATGCTCAGTGACTGCCAGCCCTCGAGCGTAACAGAGGCCTTGGAGACGATGGGTCCCACGACAGGCAAGCCAAGTTCCTCAAAGAAGCAGACCACCTCCAGTTCTCTCCCGCTCTCCCGCTGCTGCCTACACAACAATGTCAGTCATATTTGTCATTTTTGGGGATTCGCGAGCTATTTTGCTCCCGAGCACCCGAACAGGCTGGGGGAAGGAGGGTTAGACGACTCGGATTTGGCGTACCTCATCATCTCCCAGAAGGTGATCTGAGCGTCCTCGAGAATCTGGTTCTCCGTCTGCAGGATTTGCAGCAGCGACTTGTTGACCGACCTGACGACTCCAAGAACCCCAGCAGGGATTTTAACCCAGTCCGCCACCCATGAGCCCTTGTGGGGCGTCCCCATAAATATGATGCCCCGGAAGCTGTCCAACAAGTCGCGGAGCCGCTGGTCCGGCCACGGCACAAGTCGTTCATGAAGTTACCCGCGTGGTCGTTCAGGCGGTTGGTTGACGCGACCGAGTTGTTGACGACGTAAGCGTCGTAGCCAAAGGTCAGAAGGCGGGCATCCGGGACGTCTTTCGGCAGCAGAGTTTTGGGCCACGGCTCGGCATGCCCGGGGTAGGTCCAGGTGCTGTCTCGGTTCCCCGTCAGGCCGTGAACGAAGCAGATGTCAACCTTGGCGTTGGGGTTGGGATGCCACACCTTCACCCCGTCGGGGAAAGAGAGGGGAGTCGACGACGACGGCCTGGATCGGGCTCCAGTATTATTAGGTACGGACACTCGGCCGATCAGCCCATGACGGTCCGAAACGGCCCGGAACGGTCTGTGTCGGACTGACCGTTTGAGGGCCAGGACATTTCCGAGCCCCCCCCCTCGGCTCATCGTAATGGGATGCCTCGTCGTGATATGTGATGACAGCATCTGATGGCTGAAATTCTGTGTGTGTCGATGAAGAGTTGCACAACGGACAGTACGAAACCCATATCCCTTTCTCACTGCCGAGCAAGCAATAAGTGATACTGTCTTATCCATCGGCTTAATTAATATCAGGGGCTCCTTCGCTGGAGATGTTACTAAAAATTAATTGCAACAGCATTGGCACCAATCCTCTTACAGGGCCACAAGGTTACGAAGTATTAACGTAGTAATTAACAGTCTTTCTTCGCTCTCTTCAAGGTGATATGTGCTCTACATGACTGACTCGAACTGGAGATGGGGGACAAAGACCCCCGACGTCGGATAACGACGTACACGCTTTCCCGGATGGAAGCATGTCTATCTCGGCAACCGATTGTGCATACAGATCCCCACCATGCTTCCTTTGTCGCTTGCCTTCTCCCGGGTAGCCACCGACGAAGTCCCGTTCCGGCATGGGGTCCGCAAAAACATTAAAGGGAAGGATGTGAGCCATTCGACGTCGGCTGAGCTTGTCCAACGCAGCCCTGAAGTCGTCCAGGATGATACTATCGGTGAAGCATTTAAATACAAAAGCAAATTTCCAGAAAGGGTTGATGACGCCTATGGGAATCACGGGAGTGACGGAGAGAAGGTCGATGATGATGCTGATCATGCTGAGGGCCATGCAGAGAAGCAAGATGCCGAACCGGGGGGAGACCTGGACGATCTCGACAAAGCCAAGCTCGTAGCGGAATTTGATGTTGTAAAAGAGATTGATGATGGTGAATATCCACCAGGGATCGCTAGAAGCCGGAAAGGTTAGCAGACTGGACCGTAGTACATCAAGCAGCGTGCCGCTTACCGGAAAACAGCCTCGTATGGCCGAGTTTTAGTGAAGAGCTCGGTGTTGCGGCCACTGAAGAAGGTGAAGTTTGCATATATCTCAAGGATCCAATAGGGCTGGACGAGGAGGACGCTGCCAATGTAGATGAGATTGCCTCGGCGGCCAAGGAACGGCTTGCTCTTCATCCACGCAATGACATTATGGAGGGTCCAGGATGCGATGAGCGGGACGACAGTTGCCGAGAGAAACCAGCCATATACCGGAGGGGTGAAGTAGATGAAGAAGCCATTAGGAATGGCGAGTATAAGCTGCGAGTTGTCGTCAATGTCAGCAGGTGGACTCTGTGGGGGGGTGGGTTGGGGTCTGGAGGGTTTCTGACCTCGATCAAGATGAGCTTGTGGAGCAAGACTCCCCGCCGCATATTCGCAAGTGTGATGCCACACATGATGATCAGGGCACCAACCATGAAGCCCTGAGACCATGCTTCGAGGGTCAGTTTTGCCGGGCCGGACGGCTTCATCTTCTCAGCGACTTCTGTGTCGGCCATCTCGACGGCGTGGGTGATGCTTGTGTGCCCTGGATGTGGAAGGAGAATGCGAGCGGAACAAACATCCTACCCACGTGTGTGATGTGCAGTCGAGGAAACAGCCAAGGCAGAGGTTTTATGCGTCGGCCGGCCGTTGCATGCATGCAGCTGCGAGGAAGGACATAAACGAATCCGAAAGCGGGGTCCGGGGGATAGCCCGACCCTTCAGGTTGTCGTTTGTCGCGAAGCATTTACCAAACACGTACTAGTTCCAACGCTCGCGCAAAAAAACGTTACGGCTGAGGTTTTTTTTCCACTTGGACCGCACAGACATACTAATTATGTACAGACACCAACAAGGACGAGAAACCTTGTAAAGCGGGGATAGGCCCAATGCCCGGTACTCAAGCTTCCATGTCAAGCTCGTGGCTTTCCGGGCTTGACCAAACGTGTATTAGTTTTGAATCCATACGGGACGGTTGCTGAGGTCCGATCCCAGAACCCCGGATTTGCCCCTCATCAACTTTCACATACCCCACTCTATACGGATTACAGTACAATACAACAAGGGGGCAGGAATGCGGGGAAGTGTCAGGGGACCCCGCATGCTGTTCCAAGGTCCTTCGGTCGCTCCTCCGCGCATTAATCTGGACAGATGCAAGGAGACTGGAACTTTCCTGTTGATTTTCTCTTGGCACGATCCCGACAGTTCGGCTCTCTTCAAATCGATCCACTCCTGAGAGTCGAGCTCATTAGGTCGTTGTCATGAAGGAAGACCCCAGCACTGCCGGCCACTCCATCAATTGCGCAAAACATGGGAGGCTGTGTAAAGGGTCAAAGTGTCAAGTGATTGATTGGCAGTCCAGGTCGGTTGAACCCTGTGGATGCTTCCAACTACCTAATACAGTATCTACTATCTAGCACCAGCTCGAACCCAGCGGGATGACCGACGCGGCCCCGACAGCCACCGTTCCATTGCGCCCAACCAGGCTGATGCCGGTCGATTGCTCGTAGCGAGGCCAGACCGTCGCTGACATGATAGTACCGTCACCAGCAAAGACTTCCAAAATTCCGCGGTCGAGGAAGATGTCCAGCCTCAGCTTCTCATCGTGAGGCTTGGCGAGGACGGCCTCCCACTTCCCCGCCTGGCCGTAGCCGCCATTGACGGTGTCCAGGGTCAGAGTCCGGCTGCCGACGTCGTAGCTCAGGAGGGTGGATTCGGCGCGAGACTCGAACACGGCCAGGGTGAACCCGGAGGCGGTCGTCTCTGCGAGGTTGACGCTGAGCTTCACCCGCGCCGTGTTGCCGTCTCCAATGCGGCGTGTATGCTCGCCAACTTGCAGCCGACCCAGGTTATTTGCGGGCCCGCTCGCGAGACTGTCCAGCTCCGCAATCGGCCGGCTCCCCAAGCCGCCGTCCTCCCGGAGAAACAGCTCGCGGGTGACGGACTGCTGTCCGGTCCAGCCGTTGACACGGGTCGGCCACTTGGAGGTCGGCCAGTTACCCATCCAGCTGATGGCCAGGTCGCGACCGGACTCATCATCATGGTACCACTGCATCGCGTAGCTTGCCGGGCCAGTGTCGATGAGGCCGCGCTTCTCGCTCGTGAACACCGAGCCGTTGTAGGTGCCCGTCTCGTACCAGCCCACACTGTTGCCTCCGTAAAAGAGGACCCACTTGTCGCCAAGGGGAAGCAAGTTGGGGCATTCCCACATCGGTCCAGTGGTCCCGTCTCCCGTGTGCAGGACGCCAACGTAGGACCAGGAATACGGGCCGCCGTCGGTGGAACGATACAACTGGACTTGGCCCTCAGTACCGTTGGTCGCGCCGATGACCAGCTTCCAGGAGTTGTCCGTCTTGTCGTAGAAGACCTTGGGGTCGCGGAAATCGCTCGGAGCCCCCGGTTCCGGGCCGGGAATCACGGGGTTGTGCTGGTACAGCGTGAAGTTGACGCCGTCGGTGCTGCTGGCGGCCGCAACGGTCTGCGAGATGGCGCCCGGGTGGGCATTTGCGTCGGTGGAGTCGGTGAACACGAGATCCAGCTCGTCCCCGCGGACCATGGCGCTTCCGGTGAACCGCCCGGACTGATCACCAGGGATGTTGGTGCTCGCGGGAGAGAGGGCGACAGGCTGCTCGCGCCAGTGGACCGCATCCGTGCTCACAACGTGGGACCAGTGCATCGGGCCCCAGACCGGGGCGTCCGGGTAGAACTGGCTGAACAGATGGTGGCGTCCCATCCAGTGCACGAGACCCGACGGATCGTTGATCCATCCTTGGTAGGGGGTGTAGTGGTACTGGGGGCGCAGCGGGTCGGCGGCGTAGAGCGAACACGCGTTTGAGTTGTGTGCCGGCTGGTTTGCCTGGCCGATGACCTTGAAGGTCAGACCGTCTCCGTTGCTGAGAGCATTGGGCCCGACGCGGAGGTCGTCAAAGTTGATGTGGCCCCAAGATTCAGCAGTGCTGCTGTCGTGGATGATGACGTGGACCAGCTGGCCGGCCCATTTGCTGGTATCCCAGGTGATGCGGATTAGAGCCTCGTCGTTGGTGCCCGTCTGCTTCAGGAGCAACTGGTTGTCGCTGTCTCGGACGAGGCCGACGTAGAGCTTGGCCGGATCATAGCCGCCGCCGACGAGGAAGCTCATGACAGAGCTCGCCCGAAACGAACCGGACTTGAGCTCGCCGACAGCAGCTTCTCCAGCCTGGGCGATGCCCCAGATGAAGTACTTCTGGTCCTGATGGAAAGGCCCGTCCCAGTATGTTGCCGTGTCGGTGACGGACTTGTTTCCAAATGCATCTCCAGAGACAACTTGCCATCCCTGAAGATTGCCGGTCTCGAAGCCAGGATTAAGAGGCTCCTTGGCTTTGTTGTTCCATTTGGTGCTTTGGGTGCTCGCTTGATCTGGAAGCACGCCGGCCACCGCGTTAGAGGCGGCCGACATGACCAAGCCAAGCGTGATGAGTCGGTTTCGTGAGGTTCCCATGCTGAATGCGTTTTTCAGGAGTTCAGAGTAAGTAAGAGAAGTTGGGTAGCGGTTATGGAGGTCGGGAGATCATGAAGTCGGCCGTGAATCAACCTTATTGTAATGGTTGTCGACGGGGAAAACGCGTCCATTTTGTACTTCCTCATGCGAGGCGTTTGAGTCCCCACGAGAGTGGTGTTCATCCCCACGGGGATGGTTTTCGTCCCCACGGGGGTGGTTTCTGTCCCCATGGGGGGTTTCCTTGCTTCCCCATGGGCCCTGATTTCGCTGCGGATCACACAAGCCACGCGAACGGTGCGCGCGTCTTGGTGTGCCTCCATCACCGTCGTAGTCTCCGCTAGAGTGTGTTAGTCTGTCCAAATTCTTTACACTTCTCTCCGCTCGGAGTCACCGAGTGAGAGTCACGGGTCATTTACTGCTCGCGGTGGACCACGTTGGCGGTTTAATACCTCTAACTGGGTTCATGACTCGTGTGCAATCCGGTACATGCAAGATCGACGTTTTGGAACGAACAGTCAAAGACTAACTCACCGTCGATAGTTCCTAGTGTACAACACAACGCCGAGGCCGGAATTGGGTGCCATGAATTATTGCAATATCTGGGCCTCGGACACGCCGCCGCTCGCGATGCTAGACGAACTAACTCCTCGAATCACGAACTATCAGCGCTATCTGCCAAGTTTCGTGAGCTGATTCCAGTCCCCCGACATCCACCAACCACCAACTACCAATCATTAACCACAAACCACACAGGATAGGCCTTGAAGTTCAACTCGTCACCCACACAGGCTGGGAGCTACCCCACAGTCATCGAGCATTCACCTCCACAGAAGCCGGTTCTTAAATCACGCAATGCCGGGGAGGAGACGCTCCCAAGAACGCTAGAATCGCGCTAGAATCGCGCTAGAATCACGCTACCACTGCTCTAGAACTGCTTTGGAACGTTGGCTCCCTTCACATGAATGCTGGAGACTCAAGAGGTTGACCTCGCGAGCAAAAAGCTTGTCGTCGGTACGGTGGTACCTCGGCCCCGCCTGGCCCCGCACTTACCCCGCCCCGCGCAATTTCTCCATTTCTCCGCGCCTTACCCCTCACGCCTTAAGCCAGTTTTTCTACTTGGTCCTTTGATACGTCGCATTGATAGGCTGCACGATGCCGCTAGTTTCGGTAGTGTATGTAGCTCTTTACCATTTCAGATATAACCCCCGCAGTACTGCCGATTCCAGCGTCGCCCTCGACTCCTATCTCCGCGACGTCACAATCCGCGTAGAAGTCGAACCGAATAAACCCTGACAGAGTGGGGTCGACAACCGGGAAGCGCGAGATCTGTGGAGTAAACATTGAAGGGATCATCATATTCGCTTCGAGAGTCCAACCGCCGGCAATGCACGATGCATGCTCTGGTATGGGATCTCACCACGTTGTCGACGCTGCATCCAGTACGAAAAGAGAATGTTTCTAGAACAATGACCAGCCTTTCGGCGACGCCGAGTGGAGTGGACCGCCAGTGCTTCAGCAGCCTCGCCAATGTAGACAAACTTACATCGCCATGGAAATATCCGAGATAATGGTGATAACCGTCATGGACTCATCAGGATGAAACTCATAAAAGGGCCAAGGTTCTATCTCTGTAGCCGACAGGAATCATCAAGCTGTCCAGAAACACCTGCAACGACCGGAGTCTCCTTGTTTCCCTCTCCGCCTTGTTTTCCGTTTCTACGTGCGTCCTGCCAACGCCGACGCCAATCTCAACACCATGGGCTTCCTCAAGAGCCTCTCCCTGGCGCGGCCCGACGACGTGGCAGGCAAAGCATGGCCTGCTTTCGTGGTTGGCATGTTTGTTGCATTCGGCGGTGTTCTCTTTGGGTGCGTTGAATTATCCGCTGCCATTGATCCGTCTCACGATCTCATCTAGCCCAGCCGAGCTGACCGTCCGCCTTGTACACCTTAGATACGACACTGGTACCATCAGTGGAATCTTGGCTATGCCCTACTGGCAACGTCTTTTTAGCACGGGCTACATCGACGCCAACGGGAATCCCGCTATCACTGCCTCTCAGGAGTCCGCCATCGTGTCCATTCTCTCCGCCGGCACCTTCTTTGGCGCCCTCGCCTCTCCCTTTTTGGCAGACTCCGTGGGTCGCCGTCCCGGCTTGATGATCTCCACCTGGGTTTTCAACTTGGGTGTTGTGCTGCACACCGCCGCCACAGCCATTCCCATGTTCCTGGCAGGCCGCTTCTTTGCCGGTCTCGGTGTCGGCCTGTTGTCCGCCATGGGTAAGTCAATGTCATGCGTTATCCATTCATGTTGCCCAGCAAGATCGTCCACTGACAGCCCTTGCTCTCAGTCCCGCTGTATCAATCAGAGACGGCTCCCAAATGGATCCGCGGCTTCATCGTCGGTTCGTATCAGTGGGCCATCACCATCGGCCTGCTCCTCGCGGCCATTGTGAACAACGCTACTGCGAACCGAAACGACACAGGCTGCTACCGCATCCCCATCGCAATCCAGCTGGCATGGTCCCTTATCCTCTTTTCTGGCCTATTGTTTCTCCCCGAAACGCCTCGGTATTTGATCAAGAGGGACAACGCCGAGGGGGCTGCAATTGCACTCAGCCGTCTTCGACGCCTGACCGTTCATCATGAAGCTGTCGTCGCCGAGTTGGCTGAATGCCGAGCGGTCCATGAGTTTGAGATGACTAAGGGCCAAGGCTCGTATTTGGATTGTCTGAGGGCCCCCGTCCTCAAGAGGCAGCTTACCGGCATGGGATTGCAGGCGCTCCAGCAGCTCACAGGTAAGTTTCAGCCCCTTCCCAACCTATTGTCCTCTGGTCTCCGAACCCCGGACGGAAACTGACCGCCTTGTCTTTCTCTCCGCAGGCATCAACTTCATCTTCTACTACGGCACCAAGTATTTCCAAAACTCCGGCGTCTCCAGCGGCTTCGCCATCGCCATGATCACCTCCTCCATCAACGTCGCCTCCACCATCCCCGGCATGTACGCCGTCGACAAATGGGGCCGCCGGCCCCTCCTTCTCTGGGGTGCCGTCGGCATGGCCGTGTCACAGTTGATCGTAGCCGTCTGCGGCACCCTGTCCACGGGCCAGTACGACAACGGCGAAATTTTCGTCAAGAACCTCGCAGGCCAAAAGGCGGCCGTGGCCTTTGTGTGCATCTACATCTTCTTCTTTGCCTCGACCTGGGGTCCCCTTGCCTGGGTCGTCACGGGCGAGATCTTCCCGCTCAAGACCCGCGCCAAGTCGCTGAGCATCACGACCGCGACTAATTGGCTGCTCAACTGGGCTATTGCTTACTCGACGCCGTACCTTGTCAATTATGGAGAGGGGTATGCTAACCTGCAGTCCAAGATCTTTTTTGTCTGGTTTGCCTGCTGCTTCATTTGCATTCTGTTTGTCTACCTCATGATTTATGAGACCAAGGGCCTCACCCTTGAGCAGGTCGACCAGTTGTACGAGGAGGTCAGCGACGCCCGGAAGTCGGCTGCTTGGAAGCCCTCGTCTTCGACGTGGGAGCATCATCGGGAAATTAAGGTCGCGTCTGAGCATGAGGATGTCGTCGTTCACATCCCTTCTGAGACGGAGAAGATCTGATGGAAACAGGGAATGGGCAGGGCCGTGTCCTAGACATGGGTGCCGACTTGGTTTAGGGGTAGTGATGCTTAGATGGTTTTCGTGGATGAGAAGCTGAAGGCTGTGTGTGGGGAGCAAAGGGTCATGATGTGTATAGATGTGTAGAGTGTTAGGAGCTGAAAGCCTGGCCGTCCGGATCTGGGCCCTCTGACCCGAGGCCGCAGGTAATAAGTCAAACAAGACAAATAGAGGGCCATACTTGCCCTTGACCTGGCTACCACCCGATGGATATCTGTGTTGACGTAACTTGCTCAAATACTTGTGAAGGGTAAATTCATAAATATCCTTGACCCAGACCCTTAGCATCTCTTAGTTTGATTCGAAGGCAGATATTTAGAGCGCATTCGCGAAGATGGGTTCTCAGATGACGTTGGTGAGTCTGGTATTTATGTAGTTATATGGCGGCGCAAAGTTACTAAGCCTGGTTATTAATTATTACATGTCAAACTGGTTCCGTCGAGCTGTGTGTGGACTTGGGAACTAAACGATGACATAAACGTGTTAATTTGAACTAAAATTTGAGAAATATTGTGAAAGCTTTAGTCCGCTGTAGTAGAGTACTAAAGAAGTGATACGTTGTCGGTGTACCGTACCACAACCGCACGATCACTGAGTCCATCGATACTACGTGACGGTATGTTCGGCGGCCAACGACGGAACCCGTAATAGATATTGGTACTCGAACCTCACGGACCACAGTTTGCTTACATCAGCGTGTAGAGAGCGGTACACATCCCTGGTTCAGTACATGGTAGGGCAAGGGCTCTAGGAGTCGGATGATCACTGAAAATGATAAAGTACATGATATTTGCTATATGCCTATGTAAAAGCAGAAGAAGCAGAAGAAGGAGAAGAAGGGGAAGAAAGAGAAGAAGGGGAAGAAGGGGAAGAAGGAGAAGAAGGGGAAGAAGGAGAAGAGAAAGTGGTTCGCGTCGGAAAGTGTTCCGGGCGATGACAAAATGGCTAGGTGGTCTGCAGACAGTCACGGTTGAAAAGATAAAGACCCGTCATCAGTAACCACAACCCAGCTCAAACAAGTACTTCCCTCACTTCCACCGACCCCAAAACCACACTCCCCCCCGACACCCCCAGCGACACACCATCAGCGCTCACATCGGGAAAGATCAGATCCGAAATAACCACCTCCCCTTGCCCACCAAAAACCTCGATCGAGCACACATCCACCACAACCCGCAACTTCACGTGCCCATCCGAACCCGGCTGCAATGTAGCAGTGTGAACACCGCCAGCGGCAGGATCATACGAGGTATTCCCACTAGCATTGCGATCCACCTGCAGTTGTTGCGAGCTCTGCATATAGTTGACAAGGGTCTGTACCGAGCCTGCCTTGCGAACAGCGAGAGAGAGCGTAGAGCCAGGAGAAGGGGTAAAAGAGATCTTGATGTCGAGGGTGCGGGAGTGGACGTCGGTGAGCAGAGGCTGATCGCCAGGGGCCAGCGTTTGGCCGGTGATGTTTGCGACCGGCCAGCCGTACGTGTCGAGCTCATCCACAGGGTTTTGCAGGAACCGCAGCTTGTTGCCGTTGAACTGCTGCAGCTCCAGCGTGCGGGGAAACGAGAGCATGCCCTTCCAGGTGTTGGTCGGGGGGTTTCCGCCGTAGCTGTTCATCACGGAAGCGAGGATCCTGCGTCCGTCCGCAGTGGGGACGTTTTCCCAGCTTAGGGCGCCGTCCCAGTCGCGGCCGTAGTCGAGCCAGAAGGTGCTGGAGTCGTTGACGGGATCTGCGGTAAACAAGGAGCCGTCGAAGGAGCCTGTGAGCGCAAAGACGCCGTTACCGCCAGCGGGGGAGCCTTGTGCAGGCGTGATGAGCATGACCCATTTTGTTTGGTTTGTTCCGCTGATGGGGAGCTGGAAAAAGTCGGGCACCTCCCACCCGCTGATCCCACCGGGCAAGTTGGGAATGTTGCTGGCCTTGAAGTCGCTTGCCCAGGTCCAGGCGAGTGCATCGCTGGATGTCCAGATGCTGACTTTATCCTGACCGCCGTGTGCGAGAATCATGACCCATCTGCTGGAGGGAGCATGGTAGAAGACTTTCGGATCGCGGATTTCCAGACCGCCGGTGACATCATGGGGCGCTTCCTGGCTTTGCAGGATGATCGGATTGCCTGGCTCGTACTTAGTCCATGTGGCGCCCTGGTCGAGACTGTACGCCAGCCGCTGATCCTGCACCCCGGTCGATGGGTCGTAACCAGTGTAGAAGGCGAGATATGGTGGGTTGGATGACGATCCTCGTCCTGAAAGGTTCTGCGGGTCGGCATACGACGTGCCCGTGAACGCTTGGATGCCGTTTGCGCTGGAGATGGCAACAGGTTTGTGCGTCCAGGATACTAGATCGGTGCTCGTTGCATGGCCCCAGCTCAGGTTGCCCCAGAAGTTTCCGGTGGGATTGTGCTGGAAGAAAAGGTGCCACGTGGAATCGATCTTGATAAGACCGTTGGGTTCGTTCATCCAGTTCTGGTCTGGCACGAAGTGGAAAACAGGGCGGAAATCGACGGGTGGCGTGGCCGAAGGGGGGACGATGGCGGTTGTACTGGCTATCGCTGTTCTGAGGGTCGTGCTGGGGCCGAGAGTCGTGCCGGTGCCGCCGAGGGTTGTGCTGGTGCTGCTGAGGGTCGCTCTGGTGCTGAGAGTCGTGGTGTTCGTGGGCGTGTTGTTGGAAGCCGACCCCAGGATCTTGGCATCAATCGTGACCCCATTTGTACTTCCCCCAGTCGAGAAAAGAGAGACATCTACGCCTGCGTCCTGGGGGAAGATCTGCGCCGACAAGGTGACCTCGCCCTTACCACCAAAGACTTCAACCGAAGAGGAATTGAGAAGGATGCGCAGTGTGATCTTGCCGTCGCTGCCAGCCACCAGCGGGGCGGAATACGTATTGGAGAAGGTCCCGTCAAACCCGACATTTCCGGACTTGGTTCGATCAACAAACATCTGCTTGGAGCCGAAGTCGTACCCGATCCGTGTCTGCTGCGTCAGATCAGAGGTTGTCCGGAGGAGGAGGCCGAATTGACCTGACGCCGAGCTCCGGTCAGAGAATGTCGCGGTGATATCGAGAGACTTCCCAGAGAGCGGAATGACTTGGGCCCCCTCAGCCACAGTGTTGAAGGTGTTGGAATACGTTCCGGTCTGCAGAGTGGTCAAGTTGACGGCAGGTTGCTGGATCAGGGTTGGCCACCCGCTGATGGTCTGGAGTGACAGTTTCCGAGGGATCGACAACATGCTGCGCCATGGAGAGGTAGGAATGTTGGCCGCGTATTGCCAGTTGTTCATCCAGGCAACGTTAGTGCGGTCTTCGGACGCAAGTCCATTGAACGATGCCGCAGCGTAGTAGTCAGGGCCCCAGTCCATCCAGTTGGTCCCTCGCGACGCAGCCGATATGTCGGAAAACGAAATCTCATCCACCAGGATATGTCCCCAGCCACCCGTGCTGAGGTCCACGATCTCGATGACGGCGTCCTGGCCAATCAGGTCTGTAACGTCCCAGCTCTGCGGCACCAGATGCTCGCTGTCACTGCCCGTGGCAGTGCGGACAACCTGACCGCCGACCACAAGGTTGATGCATTCAACGCCCGGGGCATTGCCGCCGCCGATGAGGAAGTTGATGAGCGGTCGAGTAATGTTGAATAACGGCGAGGTGAGCGTGCCGGTGGTTGAGTCTACGTCCAGGAAAGTGTTGACGAAGCCAGAGCCGGCAAAACCAGAGACGCTTTGCTGTCCACCGAGTGTCCCATGGGCCGGTGCAGCCCCGACTAATCCCCCAGTGGCAACCCAGCCGCGAGACGCAAAGTCGTCAGTGCCTTCGAAATCTTGGAATGTGGTATCCGCGGCTGCTGCGTTGGAGTCGGCAACAAACGCCGTGCCATTGAAATCACCGACAATGTATTGCGTTCCAGAGCCAACAACCCCAGGCGGCCCACCAGGGTTGAGTCCAATCTGTACCACCCACTTGGTCTGCGCCGCGTCCCCGTCAAGGGCAAGTGAGAAGATACCGGGACACTCCCAGACACCTCCGACTGCGTTCATCGGGCCGAACTCGCTGGCCAAAGTCCAGTCCTTCAGGTTGGGCGAGGTGTAGAAGAGCAACTTGTGTAGTTGGGCCAGCGAGATGACGGAAACCCATTTCTGGGTTGGCTCGTGCCAGAAGACGAATGGGTCTCGGAAGTCGCGCCACTGATCGGCGTAGGGTGCGGGCGGGTTGAGTATGACGGGGTTAGCGGCATCGTATGTTGTCCAGGTGGTGCCGTCGTCGAGGCTGTACGCAATGGATTGGGCTTGCTGTCCTCCGTTGACTGACTTGCCGCTAGGAAGATTGAGTGACCCGGGATACTAAGCAGAAAAGGCATTAGTTGGAAGGAGCCAGCATGCCAAGTGCGAAGTTCATAAGACTTACATAGGAGGTATACATTGCCACAAGTGGAACTGTTCCGTTTTTGCCAAAACCACTCGTGTTCCCGGTGTCGGCGACAGCAGAACCAGAGAAAAACATCTCAGTGATGCTATCGGGGTAACCACGGGCAAGGAGAGCAACGGGCTGGTGTTTCCAGTGGATCAGATCATTGCTGGCCGCATGGCCCCACGACATGGCTCCCCAGGTATCTCCGCCCGGGTTGTACTGGTAGTACAGATGGTAGACGCCGTTGTGGCAAAGAAGACCGTTGGGATCGTTCATCCAGTTCTTAGCCGGGGTGAAGTGATAGCGGGGCCGGTACAGCTCATCGTAGGTTTGCGCGCCTACTTCCTGAAAAAGCGAGAGGCCGCAAAGCAGGGCAGAGGCAAAGAAGGGGACCATGGTAGAGGTAACAAGATGGGTGCATCCGGGTCGGTCATGGACGGAGTCACAGAGAGGCGACCGAGGAGAGATGCTGAGCGAGAGCGTTGAAAGACCTTGAGTTGGCGGCGAAGTGCACGCTCTTATACAATCTCTGGTTGTCGCGGTTTCCACTCCCCAGCTTCATCTCCCAGGTGGCCAAGAAGTTAATGTTTAGTGCTTCTACATATCACCTCCAAGACTCAGACTCGAAAACGCAAGTTCGCTTTCTTCTCCTGCGGTATTCTTGACCTAGACGTGGAGAAGCAGAAACGAATTCGGACACAGAGCTTCCGTAGGTAGGTACATGTACTTTACTACCCAAGTTATGCTACTTTCACCTCGAAGACAGTCTTGTCTCTGCGGAGGCTAGGAACCATAGGTAGGTAGCCATACTGGTATGATCATCACGGGCGACCCACGTTGGGGAGACACCCAAGCCCCCCGAGACACCATCGGCTAAGAGATTGTGGGGATACCCCGTAGGGATACCCCATGGGGAAGACATGACCAAGCCCCCAGAGATGGTGGAACGCAGAATTGATTTGGAAATCGCGGGGAAAGGGCTCTCTCTCCGTACCTAAGATAATTTTTCCACTTCGGAGGTAGCCGAGAGACCGTAGAGGTAAATTCCTAGTGCCGTCCGTCCCCACGATAGACATCCACCCTGCTGCAGGCTGCAGGCTGCTAGCGATTGGGTGAGTCTATTCCTCCTCCCGAGTCATAAACCGCGCAAAGTTCAGACTAGGGTTCCTGGACAGTACCATGTGTGCATATGCAGGACACCGGCCCTTTCCCCTGAATATGAGCCTCAGCCTGACATGTCCGATGTGTCGGTCAGTGGGGCCAAATTCGAGAGCTGTTGCCTACTTTCGAGGTAGGTAATGTACCTATGCACCAGGAGTTGCCCTGGTGCCTTGCTTGCGGTGGAGGTACGTATTGTAGGTACCTTCGGGAGTTCAAAGTCCCCATGATAGGTTCGTATTCAAGCGTGGTTCTCAGAGCTTTTTTGCAGATCCCATGCCGCTTCGGTCGCGGTGTGTTCAAATGTTGCTTAACGGCATCAATTCCTTACTACGGACGGAGCGTGGGTAGACGATCGAAATTCTCTCGGCTTGGCGTGAGCGCCACAAGACGTTTACTAGTGTAGATACGCCATGTGCACGTTGGGGTTTCTCGGCCTGAGGACAAACACTAGTTGTCAGTTGGTAGCTCGGAGACGCCGCCCTTGCGATGCGAGGCGGCTCAACACCTTGAACTGCTGTCCCAGATGTTGGGTCCGACAACAAAGTCGTTGACCCCACCTCCACTAACACAGCGCCCCCATGTCAATGCAACACTTACACCTGCAGCGCTGCATTCGGATCTTGCTCTGGGATGACGTGCTGTAGTCAGACTGCGCTAGTAACACGCTAGAACACGCTAGAACACAGCGATGGAAGTTCTCAAGCTTCTTTTCTTGAAGGCGAGCGATGGGCTTCCCACCTGCCCGATCACTAATCGACTTAGGTTGAAGTTCCCCGCACCTTCCCCCGCATCTTCCTCCGGACATTTCCCCGCACCGTACCCCGCAACACCTCCAAGCACTAGTGTAGTGTACAACGACCAGTGTATCCGTACGTAATCCGGAATCCAATATCTTGCTCCAACGGTTGTAACGGTACCCTAGAGCTGCAGCAAGCTATATCGGGCAATAGATCCCTGCAGCCCTTTCCGGGCTCGGGAAAATTTTATTGTCCGGTGAAGCAAGATATGGATGCCGTGAAGCTATCTTGTCCTGCAGCTTCTGCTCGTGGCAACGGGGTGCCCGATGCACAGGGGTGCTAGGGGACATGGGAGAAAAACCGGAGCGCAGAATATGGACTCGTTTCGGTCTCGCTTGTGAGGTGTGTGCGAGTTGGTACCTACACAGGTCTTGGCGATCCTGTACCGAACATTCCGTACAGCGTCGGCCGAGGACTCCGATCTCCACGGGGTACCTGTTGCCCTCGAAGACCCCATTGACATTGCAAGGCCGACTCCACCATCTGCAACAAACCGGGGCAGGAAGCGAGCGAAAGGTCTGTTAGTACAAGCATCACGTCGGCCTTCCACCAACCATGGATACCCTCTAGTGAGGCAAGGTGCGTGCGCGGGGTATGATCAGGCCAGCTGTATGTAGATACAACCTACCTACTCTGCTTTAGTATGTCACCGCATGCGCTGTCTTCCGAGAAAGGAATGCTTCCAGAAAACAGGCTTTCGGCGACGCCGAGCGGTTCCAGGTTGCCAGGGTCTGTGTGGCAGTCTTCTGTTTACAGTTTACCAATCTCTGGCTGGAGAGGTTGGAGAGGCCGGAGACCTCGTAAGAGAGGGACGAGATGGGGGGGCAACCAGGCGAGCATGAAGACGGGAAGCAGGAGGACAGGAAGCAGGCCGAGATGATGGTACTCCAGATGTCCCCCGTACCTTCTTGCGAAAAAGGAGCTGGATATTGTTGTTATAGCATGCAAGCAGCAAGTCTAAACACCAGGGAATTGTCTAGTATCCAGTAATATGGTTATCACACGTGGCGTTGTGTGTTGTGCTGAGTGGTAAACACAGGCTAGAGCGTCTCTTAGAACGATTAATGAATGACATGTAGCTGGCAGCCACGCGATTTTGCTCTCCGGGTCAGGTACTCAAGGTAGTTCTCATCTGCAATAATTGATTACATTGGCGCGACAGACCATGACTCTAGTAGGTAATCAGACAGTCTTACAATCTCACCACCTCTGCCCACCCACCTAACCTTGCAAGCTCTTGATGAAGCGCTTCCTGATATCCTTCGCAATCTCGACATTATTTTGTGCTCTCTTTCGGGATGCCTCGGCCCTTCTCTGCAGCCACTGGTTGCGGTCCTGCACAAAGGCCTCAAGCCTCTCTTCTCTCTGCTTAATCAACTGCTGCTGCAAGTCCGTCAGGGACCTGTCAGCGGCCGGCTCAGGGGGCGGCGCGACGGTGGGCCTGTTGGGTAGTCGCTGTTTGACCGGGAGGATATCCAGCTTGGGCCCCGGCAGGGTCTGGTACCAGTATGCCGTGGTGGACCAGTCGTCGCGCAGGTGGTTGGCGTGCCCGTGCTCCAGCTTGACCGTGATCTTTTTGTTGAAACGGACCGGGTCGGCCAGGTGCCACCGGTACGAGACCTGGTAACCGGGCACGTCCTCTTCGTGGATGATGGTACCGCAAAAGGGGTAGGCGTTCTTCTGCATGCCCCAGCCCTGGGTGAAGTAGTCCTCGCCTCCGGTGCCGTGCATGCTGGGCGGCCAGGTGTCGTCGTCGATGAAGATCATGTCGTCGCCCTCGCCCCACCAGGTGCCTTGGTGGTGGAGTACCGAGTGGTTACAGCCAATGAAGGTGCCCGAGCCAGTCGTCTCGAGGATAGTGTAGCCGTCGCCGGTGAGGTTGGGGACCTGGGTCTCGAGGCTGTTGGTCTGCATGGCGTTCGGGGCCCAGCCGTTGGTGGGGTTCTCGCGCCGCCAGTGGGCGTGGAAGTAGAGGATCTCGTTCGGGTCGAAGGGGGCAGGCAGCAGCTCGTAATCGATGTAGAAGTACTGGAAGTAGGCGTCCTCGCCCTGGTTTTCAATCTCGATACGGGCACGCTTGTTGAAGGGCATGGCCAGGTAGCAGTTGAAGGCGGCCGAGCCGCCGAACTTCTTCTCCTCGGACGGCTTGACCGACACGGTGAAGGGGAGGGACTGGAAGTTGGCGGCCATAGAGTGGCCCAGGCAGAAGAAGTCGCCAATGGGGGCGATGACGTTCGGGGTCTCCGAGTCGTCCCAGTACATGCGGATGAGAACCTTGCGGTAGTAGTCGGGGTCGCTGTCTTCGTAGCTGAGACCTAGGGCGTTGTGGATCTCCATCATGGCGACGCCCGACTTGGAGTACGGAATGAGGCCCGGGCCGAGGATGCGCCGGCAGGTCTGGACAAACCACAGGTGCGTGATCATGCCCGGGCCCTCCAGATCGGCGAGGACCGCTGTCTCGCCCGGCTGTACGACGAAGGCATCCTCGTTGAGGCCGGATTGGTCCCAGCTGGAGATGCGAGCAGTGCGAGCCGTCTTGCGCTGGGCCACCGAAGACAGCAGATCTCCTCGGATGAAGGATGGAACCGGGGTCGTCATTTTTGGGAAACGGGTGGGTGGGTCGAGGTAACTGGGTGTGTGCGTAGTGGATTTGATTCGAGGTGAGTTGGAAACTTCAATCAAGGTAAGGTACTAAGGTCGAGTAGATGCAGCGGGAAGCCCGGGGTTGTGGCTGCACTAGTTGGGGATGAAGAATCAACACAGCATGTCGAGAGCTCTCGATAGGTAGACATCTTGTCCGATTTATAGTCTGGTTGAACTCTGGAAAACTTGACATCCGCTGTGCTGCCGTGAAAGAAAGTCGATGGAATTCAATGACCGAGGAGCTTCACGAGTTACGACCGTCAACATTGGTCTTTGTGGATGATGGATCCACCTCCACACTGCGGCACTGCCATATCACTGGAAGTTCATCACACGCGTTCAGCACCCATCACGTGCAACTCCGTCACGTGCGGTTGGCATCGCGGAGTTCCCTCTAACTCCGCGAGAGTCTCCACTTTGTCGCTGATGCGGTCTCCTGCAGTTCAATCCCTGTTTCTCGGCGAGCTCGGGACTTCATGTGGGTCAGACAGGGATAAGATGGTGGCATCCGCATTAATTTCTGATTGGCTATTTAGATAAAAGTCGGGTGAGCTTTCGAGCTAATAATCAAATAAGGATTGAACTGCATAACTTTGACTCGAGTCGCCAGATGAAGAGGCGATGTCGGCGGAGATAGGTATTTCAGACCGATGTCCCCAGCCTCTAGGTGCCCCGGATTTTTCGGAGCCCCCACTGATAACTGCTCTGCCGACTGCAGTTGCACCGGCTGTTGAACCGGCAATGTCATGCGAGGTGCCGAGACTCGAGACACCGTCGCACCGAGACCCACGCCGGGACCGACACTGAGACCCGTGACCCGGGTTCAGGGACTCCAATCGGCCAGTCCAAATGTCTGATCATCTAATGGCCGGGCCGGATGTTCCAGCGAGCCCCTATGGGGCCCCAGAGGACGCGAACCCACCGGCTCCGGGCCCCGATGCCCCACCAAGAAAGAGTCGCAGCCGGGCCATCACGGCGTGTAGCGCCTGCCGGACGAGGCGGACGAGATGCGATCGGCGCAGCCCCGCGTGTACCTACTGTCGCACCCGCGGACTCGATTGCCAATACGAGCCGAGCCAGACCAGCGCCGCGTCTAGGTAAGTGCTGTGCTAAGCAACCTGCCACGTGGAACATGCCACATGGAGTTTCCAAGTTCGGGTCTCGATGCTAACACCGCTGTTGCAGAGTGGAGGCCGAGCTCGCCGCCATCAACCGCCGGCTAGACTACATCACCAACTCCTTGCAAGCAGGGCAACCAGCGCACCCGCCCCCGCCCCCGCCCCCGCATTGCCAACAGCTGTCTCCGGTCGTTGACGCGGAGAATCAAAGCCACGCCGATAGCAATGCGAGCCAAGCCGTCACAGGGGTGGAGAGATCGCCATTCCAGCTGCTAGTGACCGACTGCATGATGGAGGTTCTCGGTCTCGGCCCCGGTTTTGCGCGGGAGCTCGTGCTGCTCGAACGAAGCATTACGCCGCGCCGCGCACGCGTCAGTCACGCGGGGAGACTGTGTTTTCTACCGCAGCAGCAAGTACTCGCCGCGCTCGACGCCTTCTCCGCCCATGTCCACATCTGGTACCCGATACTCCGCCCGGGCTTCTCGGAGCGCTGCCTTAGCGTGCTAACAGGGCCGTTGGCGCCGGGCTCCGAGTCCTGCTTGATGCTGGCTGTGGCAGCGGTGGGCGCCCTCGCTTTGGAAGACCGGGCGGTACGAACAGGGGCACCCTCACCGCCGTACTACCCTGAAAGGAACAGCGAGCTCTACCTGGAAGCCGCCACTGCGTCGTTGCCGGCTGTGCTCGTCGACGAGAGCCTCGATAGCATCCAGGCGTTGGTCCTCTTGAGTATCTACCACTGCTGCCTTTCCCGGCCGTGCCAGGCCTACGACTATGCTATGACTGCCTCCTTCAAGGTCCAGAACTTGGTGAAATGCGCGGGCGAGGGCAATGACGAGCTGTACGAGCAGGCGAAGAGGTGTTATTGGGCCGTCCTGCTGCTGGAGAGCGAGCTCCGCGACCAGCTCGACATGGTCGACAGCGGAATATGGAACTACGACGACAGGGTCGACCTGCCGGACAGCCGCCCTTCATGGCACTTCCAGCTCGATACTGGCTCCCCAGGTGCAACGACAGCGTCTCCCGGCAGCATAATCAGTGGGGCCTCGGCATCGGCAGACGGGAGCGCTGTTACTTCGAACAAGGCCCAGGCATACTTCCTTGCCGAGATTGCCGTGAGGCGCATGCTGCATCGCTGTTACACTGCCATCCGTAGGACGCCTCAGGGAGACATCGTCTACGCGCCAACCATTGCGCTCGAGCTCGAGACGCAGCTCGACGAGTGGCAAAGCTTCCTGCCCGACGCAGTCCACTTCCGTCACCTTGCTGTCCTGGAACCACTTAGCAATTTCCTTCGAGTCCAGTATCATTGCTGCAAAATATCAATCTACTGGCCGGCCGTGTATCAGTGCATCCAGGACGGCGAACCCACTACCACACAGATACTCGAGCACTGCGAGAGGTTCTTCAACACGTATATGCAGTGTATTCCCAGCATGTTAATGGCAGTCCGCGACTGCATCGTCAACCGCTGGACGCTCTACGCTACCATCTTCACGACATCCATGGCGGTCCTCCAGGCCGCTGCGACACCCTGCCTGCGCAACGGATGTGCCGTGGACTGGGCTCACCTCCTGGTCTGCCTCCGATCGACAAGGTCGGTCGACATACGCATCGTACAGGCCAGCCCCTCCTTAACCCTGTTGCACCGTACCCTCACAGATCAGGTGGCAGAGGTGTGTCCTAACGACTCCTCGGCAACTCCAACCCATCCCATACCGTAATCGTCTCAAACACGGCACTTCCCACGCTTCCTTTCGCAAATGCCGTCAGCCCGCCCAAGCACGGGCTGGATCCCGAGTACACCATGGTCGCGAGGGCGAAACGGTCGTTGGCGAATACCTCGAGGATATCTCCATCCGACAAAACCCGAATACGAAGCTTCTCCAAACTATCCCTTCCCTCGTCGTCCCGTGTTGTGAGTAAAGTGAACGGACCGGCGTCCGGACACTCGTTGATCGCCGGGTCACCGTTAGAGGCGTGACGATCGACGACGATAGTTTCGGTCGCGGTCGAGAATGTAACCGTGGCACGAATGGACAGGTCCGCACCGTGGCGCAAGTGGAAACCGACCTCTTCACATCCCGCGCCGATTGCCACGGTGGCCTCGAGCTCCCAACTTGGAGTTCGTGTGTGGCAAATGCCTCGGCTCGTGATCAAGTCCGATTCCGGCAAGGCAACAGCGGCTGCACTGTGCTGGTGGTGACTGGCCCCACGTAGCTGCTCCAGTTCCGCGACCGGCCTCACGCCCAACGTCAAGACGGTAGTCGTGGTACCATCCGGCTCCGAGGTGAGTTCGAAGGGCGAGATATCCCGCAGTGCGCTCCGCAGCGCCCCGACGACTCTTGGGATCCGGAGGAGGAAAATCTCACGAGGGACAGCGAGAGAACCGTTCCACCCCTTCTCAACAGCGGCTCCCAAGGGCAGGTCTTCCTCCGGAATCCAACCGTACACAATTGTACGACCAGACTGAGGATCCGTAAACGAGTTCGCAGCGTAATATACTCCATGGTCGAGATACCCGCCATGCTCGTACTGGAATTGGACGCCGCTGTCGCCGCTTGGAGTCGTGATAAGACCGGCCGACATCCACAACTGAGCCCTTACAGTTCGCGAAGGCGCCGTGACCGGGCGTTGGCTCTGATAAGATCTCACATGATCCTTCTCGACATCTCCTTCGGCGCCCAAGATCAAAAAGCGTCGAACCTCGGAATCTGCTTGCAGCGCCACCAGGTTGGCACACTCCCAGTTGACACCGTAATTGCCGCTCCATTTCTTCGAGGGCTGGAATCTCGCTGGCAAGTCAACCAAGGGGCCAGAGTATCTCCACTTCCCTTCGGGATTGTCGCGGTCAATCTCGTACAGGAAGACGGTAGGGCCGCCGTCTTGTATGCCGCCCGAGACGAGCCCGTAAAGTACAGGTCCCCTCTCACAGGACTTGCCCTCGGCGGCGTAGGGGATCAGAGGCAGCTCCGTCACATACGGGTCGCGGAACCCAGTGACTCTCACGCCAGCCGGCTCGCCTACCAAGACGGGATTTCGCGCCGATTTTGTCCAAGTCTTGCCGCCGTCACGAGACAGTGCGATAGCGATGCCAGCTGCATCGCGGGGATATGGCGGCGTGCTCCAGTGAAAAGGCAGGTGTTTGACCGACGAGTACGCAACCCGCAAGACGGTGTGGGACTCGTCGATGGAAGGGATCCAACAGCCGGTAAAAACCCCTTGGGCGTCGTATGTTTGGTCTGGGATGAGTGCCGGGGACACGTCGGCTTGCGTCCAGCGTAGCATGTCTCGGGACACAATGTGTCCCCAGGACATGTTGCCCCATTCACAACTGGTCGGGTTGCCTACCAGGTACGTAAGGCGACGGGCATTGTGTCAGTCTTTGTCACTATCTAGTCGAGCAGCGCAATGCCTCTGGGGATAAACTCACATTGGTAGAAGAGATGATACGTCTTGGTGTGCGGATCGTAGCCGGGAGCGCATGGATCGTTGATCCAGCTGTTTGCAGTGAAGTGGATTCTGGGTCGCCGTCCTGGTTGTTCGGTTGACGTCAGGTGTGCCATGGTGAAAAGAGAGAAACCCGCAGATCATGGGCCAATGGAACCGTCCGAACTTGTCAGTGAATCGCTTTCCCGCGCTGGATTAGCCGAGGGAAAGGGAAACAATAGCGTGCGTGCGGTAGGTAGGCCCGGTTCATACATGAGGTACCTAATTACGCCGTGGGCTTCTTGTTATCCAGGAGTTTATATTGTTGATGCTTACATACTCATCTTTTTGGATGTATCCCCTTACCTAAGTGGAGTATGGCGTCGAACTGCCCGTGATCATCTTTCGCGGAGTTAAGTTGAACTCCGCGAAGTCCAGAGACTGTGTTCCCTATCCTACGGATTCCTGCCCCCAGTCTTCTTAGCCTGGGACTGGTGGCCACCCGGGGTAGCTGGTGGAGCTCAGAAAAAGACGAGCAGAATTGGCCCACTATTTACCAACTACAGACAAGGTGCCGTCGACCCAACACCAATACATCGCGACATGAGGTGGTGGCTTGTCTGAATCCCGAATGGGTGGTGTAAAAAAAGGGGCAAATTCTGGGTCTGTTACCCCACGGTGGCCACGCGGGAAGCCATGCTCACGGAGGCAGAGACGTGGGGCAAGTTCCGCGCTAACGATTCAGCTGGAACCCAAGCCTGGACCGCATTCTGACTGAAAGGTATCGGGCACTCCGCCCGCTGTGGAGCACCTCCTAGACGGCGTCTTGGGTCCCTAGGGTTCACCAGGTCCCCCAGGTCCCCCCCAGAACCCCCAGATCAACCCGGATCAGCAGGGTTTCGGCGGGGAATGGTTTTTTTACCCCTGTCAACCCGTAACGCGTCCATGGGCTCTTGGCTCAAGGCTGGTTGCCGGATTTGGGAAACCTGTTGGAGGTACCTCGCCATGCTCATGGTGCTTATATCTGAAGAACTGGAGATAAAAGTCTCCCTCCCGCTTCTACCAGATCGGTTTATCAGACTTGCGGCATGGTCACCGATGTTATTAAGCCCATCCGCACCAGGGCACAAGAATACCGCTGCAACTGACAAGTCACAACTGCAACATCACCGAATCCGCGAGTCCCGAGTTATTAGCAACGAGTTAACACAATGGCTCTAATACACGGGTAAGCAGAGTATCTTGTCATATTGACCCAACACAAGCCAAGAGTGGAAAACTGACCAGCATTCCATCACAGCGTCGACTACTCGGTTGTCAACCCGAACAACAAGTGGAAGATGCTGAGATCGCAGTCGCGATTTGCGCTTTGGGGTGAGTCAAACTACCCCTGAATCCTACCCCTGAGTCCTGACGATAACTTGACTGCCATATCCGGAATATATTCTAACGCTCGAGGACACAACAAACAGCGCTTTTGATCTCCTCCGGCGTCGTAATGCAAGGCTTCGACATCGTAGCAGGTGGACAACTCGCGGCACTGCCCGCGTTCAAGGAGAAGTTCGGACTGCTACAGGGCGACGGCAGCTACCTGATTCCGGCACACTACCTCTCCGCCTGGAACTCGATCGCCCCGGCCACAGAGATCGCCACCACCTTCATCTTCGCCCCGCTACTCGAGAAGTACGGCCGCAAGTGGGGGATCTTGGCCGCATCCCTCATCTCGACCGCCGGCGTCATCCTCCAACAACTTGCCCCGGACTGGCGGACGCACCTCGCCGGCAGGGGCGTCAACGGCATCGCCATCGGCATGATGTTCACCATCTCACCCCTCTGGATCGGTGAGACCTGTCGTCCAGAACTCCGCGGCTTCTTCCTGTGCTTCTTCAACACTAGCATCGTCTTTGGCCAGTTCGCCATCGTCGTGGTCTCGCAGGGCAGCAATCACCTCTCAGGCAAGTGGCAGTGGTGGCTGCCCGTCGTCGCCATGTACATTTTCCCTTGTAAGTCTCATCAAGCCGGAGAGTCTTTTTCTGTAGGGCCTCGGTGACCGCTTTGCTAACGCCATAACGAATTAGTGATGCTAACCGCCGCCTGGCCCTTCTTCCCCGAGTCGCCCTCTTGGCTCATCCGCCACGGCAAGCGAGAGGAGGCGAAAAAGGCGCTGCGCCGCATCTACGGCTTCAAAGAGCAGACATTCTACGAGATCGAAGCGTCACGCATGGCCGAAGAGATCCGCCTCACGAGCGATCTACAACACGGCAACATCGAGTCAAGGCCTCCCAGGCGACTCCTAGGCGTCAACGTGGAGCGAACAGCTGAATGCTTCGACGCGGCCAATCGCAAGCGCACCCTGACCGCCATCTTCGCCGCTTCCGCGCAGCAGATGATCGGCGCCACGTTCGTGATCGGGTACGCGACGTATTTCTTCGAACTCATCGGCATCAGCAACTACTTCGCCGCCTCCATGGCCCTCTACGCCGTCATGCTGGCCGCCACCATGGCGGCCTTCCCCCTGACCGAGATCTACGGCCGCCGGTTCCTTATCGTCGGTCCCCAATTCGCGCTATGCTTGATGCTTCTGATCATTGGCATCCTTGGGTGCGTGCCGGACAAGGCCAAGGCCAGCTGGGGGGTTGTCGGCCTGCTGTATGTGTGGGCGCTCATCTACCAGCTCTCCATCGGCGCCACGGGATTTGTCCTGGCGTCCGAGATTGCCACCATCAGACTCCGGGCGATGACACAGGGTCTCATCACGATCACGAATGCCGTTTGGGGCCTGATTATGCAGTTTACTGTCCCTTACATGATCAACCCCGATGCCGGAAACTTGGGCGGTAAGGTCGGCTTTATCTTTCTGGCAACCGGGTTGATAGCTGGCATTGGAGGCTGGTACTTGTTCCCCGAAACGAAAGGACTTTCGTTTGAGCATTTGGATCAACTGTATGCCATGAACGTGCCCCCGAGACTCTTTCAGAAAGTGGCGGCCGAGGGCATGAGCGGATATAATGCAGGGGAGCTTGTTGACAAGGAAGGCGCCATCACTGAAGAACACCGCGTTGAAACATCGGCAGTACCATAAGCAGGTACTCTTGGAACTCAGCGGAAAATTGTGCACATAATTACATGGTCAGCCGGCATACCGAGGGTTGTTACCTATATAAGTGTTGTTTCCCCACCAAGTGAGGCTATTATTGTGTTCCAGCTGTTAGGACTACCATGACAATGCAACCAAGTCGTCATTGGTGCCCAGCGAGCACCAAGCCGGCCACGGTTTTACACGCCATCCTCACAAAATGTAAAAGAAGGGAAGCTTAGTTCAATCGGAAGAAACGGCAAATGTCCCCTCTGACACGCCCTCACATATTTTACTATCTAAATTACCTAACTAAGTAATTATCTTGAATAAAATTTGTATCATAGCATAGCAACATCGCATATTATCTCATTAAAAGTAAAACCTTTCCGACTAAGCGAACGCAAGAATAAAAACCGGCAACATAGTAAAGAACGTTACAATCAACCCACTCGGCTTCCAAGCTTCCGTCGAATTCTGATCACCACCCCCAGCACTACCACCACCACCCCCGGTGTTATCACCCCCATCCGAGGCTTTCACCTCCCCCGAGAATGTAAACGCCTTCCCCGTCCCAACCCCATTCGGCGCAACACAATGCACCCTCGACAGCGCCTCACCCCGATCACTCACGTACGCCTCAGGGTCCAAAGTCGCATTGACCAACGCGGTAACAAACACCCAGTAATTCACCACCATCGAGTCCCAATACTCCTGCAGGTCCTTGGTTGAGTTATACAACTCCCCCGCATCCGACCCAAACTCCCACCCATCGACCTGCGTAACCGATCCGTTCAAATACCGCACCGGTACCCCACCGTATGACGGAACCTCCCCGCCCGCATTCCCCGGGCCATGCTCACCGCACGCATCCGGCACCGACAAACTTGAGCAGGTCGTCAGCCCGCCGAACAACCCGCGGGTTGACTCGGCCGAGTCGGCGATGGAGTAGCTGTCGCCTGCGTCTTTCTCGAGCGCAGCGATGCACGCGTCGGAAAGAAACCCCTTGCAGGAACCGTCGGCAGCGAGCGGTTTTTGGGTGGGGTTGTTGTAGAGTTCTTTGCTGAGCTGGTTGGGGTGGCCGAAGGCCCAGAGACACATGCCCCAGCTGGGGTCGGTCTTGACAATTTTTGTTTTGCCGTTGTCGGCCGGGTTTGGCTCCAGGAGGCTGTCAGGGGCTTGGATCTTGAGGCTGTGACCTATCATGGGCTGGCCCCGAATGGCGAAGTTTGGGTCGTACTGGGAGAGTGGGTTGGAGGGATCCCCGGCGTATTTGTATGGCTCGGAGAGGTCGATGGCCGCGAGGCGAATGGTCCAGCCGTCGATAGGTTTGCCTGGGAATGGCTTGGAGACATCGTACCCAGGGATTTTGAAGAGGCCCGTGGAGTTGGAGGCCGCGACGGCATCGAGGAACGCGGTCGAGTTGGAATCGAACGGACCCACACGCCCGGAAAAGGCTTCGCCATAGCCTGCGAAGCCGCTGAAGTTGATACTGGCACTCACGGGCAGGCTACCGGCCAGGGCCAGCAAGGGGCCGATTTTTGAAAATACTGCCATTGTTTGAACGAGTGAATGAGAACGCCAACTCGTTTCTCACGATCGGGGGCGCGCCGCGGTTTCTATGCATTTTTTTCAATCTCACCCGGGGGGCTTGGCAAAATCCTTCCGTCCTCAACCCGAGCCTAGACTGTAGCATCGCCCGATCCGTCCTTCCAAATTGGTCACTAATTTTCACCCGGCGGCGAAGAGTCACGGTGTTAACGTTACACAAATGCTGAAAATAAAAACGGGAAAGGGGGAATACGAATAGCCAAGCGTGGTATCATGGCTAGACTCAAAGACTCCAGACAGAAGAGTGTGTTGATGTGAAAGGACTAATTATAGAGTAATTTTCGGAGTACATGCCGGGTTTTGGTTCCTCGACCTCAAACTCGGGTATTCCCGACGTAATTAACCGCGGGCGTTAATCGCCAGTCCAGTGAGGACTCCCGAGTACACAGCTAGGGCCACGATACAATGGATACCTGTCCCAAACCCTCGGAAATCGGCGGGGACGGAAAAGAATTGTTATCAAGCGTCATTTTCATGCGGAATTTTCTTCCGGGTTTTTCACGAGAGACAATCGTTGAAAAGGAGAATGGTAAACGGAGAGGAACCTGATTTTCCTCTTGAAATGACTTTCCAGTGACTGGCCAGCGAATTTGGCGAGAGAGGCAACAGTCCCGCTCATAAGGTCCGCGCAGGAGCACAGAGTCCAAACAGAAGCACACGATTGCAAACAAACGGGAGAGGTTCCTGATGGTTGCATCGAGGTTAATATATCTTAAAATTGATTTCTCCGAATATGAAAGCGTCAGTGGTTTAGTGGTAAAATCCATCGTTGCCATCGATGGGCCCCGCGTTCGATTCGCGGCTGACGCATTTCTTTTGACTTTACTTTTGCTCCATTTTTTAATCGAATCTGCATAGTAGGATCCCTTAGCCTTTGCTGAACCGCTGTATGTATGTACATACAATCTCGCCACCCCGATTCCAGACATCATGCATAAATACCCTCCTTGATCTTCTCCGACAACTCCTCATCAGGCGTAATGTACCCATCAAACGCCAACCTCCATTCCTCAACCAAATCAGCCACTATCCGTGCAAATACCGTAGCGCCGTGCTCATTCAAATGCGTCCAATCTCCAAAGGCGAGGTTGTAAGTGTCGGCATCAGACGATCCAATAGCTTGTACATACGCCTTAGAGGCCGCGTTCAAGTCGAGCATTGGGACACCTGCGGCCTGTGCTGCTTTACGAGAGGCTTCGGAGACATTGGCAAGGCTGTCGTCGAGAGTGCCGTTGGTGAAGGTCCGGCGTGTGAGGGGTGTCAGGATGATGGGTGTCCCGCCCGCTGCGGTGATTTTTTCGGACATGAATTGCAGGTTGGATTGGAATTGGTCCATTGTGATGTTGGCTGTGGATGCCTGAGGGTTTCAATTTAGCTACATTGTTCTCGATACTTGGTGCATAAGAAGGAGGAATACAGGGATGTCTTACCTGGTCATTGTGTCCAAATTGCAGAGTAACGTAGCAGTCGTAGTCGTCTGTGTTATCCGTGACCAAACCTTGAAGCAGTTCCACCCCTTCACCATTGATGTAAGAGACCGTCGTAGCGCCACTCCGGCCTTCGTTCTGGCCGGTGGCACCGCCTTCTAGCACTGTTAGGAAAGCATCACCCCAGCCACCATTTGAGGCTGTAGTGGAGTCACCGGCGAGGAAGAACGCCGGTGGCTTTTGTTGGCGGGGGACTGGCGGTACTGCTGCACACAGTACCGCGTTGAGGATAAGTGATGATGTGAGTCTCATTGTATCTTATACGGCATTGAAGCAAAATACGAATCTTTTAACGATGTAAATTGGAAGCAGATTGCTAGAACAAACCCATAGATTAGAGCCAAGTAATTATGTCAATAAGGTTGTTCTAGAAAATGGGCTCTCGCAGATCAGCTGCAATCGTGCAGAAGGATAAACGGCAATCTGGATCGCGCTCCCATATTAAGGTACCAGCCGATCAATAATTAAGCAGAAACGTTATGATGAAACCCTACTTGAGGATGGGTACATTGAGCTCTCAAGATACCCAGTATCCTTACTGTACTTACGGTCAATTGGTTATCAGGGAAGGTCAGTTCCACATCTCGTTAGGGCCCTTAATTAATTGCAAAAGTTGAGAATCGGAACAGCGAGACTTAATATTTCACAATTCGATGGCTTTGACGGGATTCGATTTCCATCGCCAAGCCACCGCCCCACGAACCAGGTAAAAGACCACCCAAATGGTGCCCGTACCTTGCGGAGAATTAGAAAGGGGTAATTGATGATGGAATGCGGGGAGAGATCGCCTCGGGTTAAAGGGCCCCGGATCGCCAAGGGTATGGAAAAGGCAACGCTCCAAACCTGCGTATAATTAGCCGGCGTGGTATCAGTGGGCTGTCAACGACGTGATTTTGTCGTTCAGACCACAACATGAAGATCAGTAATTCGACCATGTCCTTGATTTCTGCCTTGTATCTTCTACTCGGTGTTTCAACCGCCAAGTACATTGTGCCTGGCGGGCGATGGCACGATACCGACGGAAACCTTGTCAATGCCCATGCGGGATGTGTCACTGTTGATCAAGACACGGGCAAGTTTTGGCTGTTTGGAGAATACAAGGTCGAGGGCCAGATTGAAGGCGGAGGGGTCTCGGTGTACAGCTCCGATGATCTCGCAACTTGGAAGAGTCATGGACTTGCTCTCGGTTAGTTTGGCCTCGTCATCGTTTTCATCACTAGGTAATTAGTTCTTTCCGGGCACTAATCGTTTCAAACAGAGCCTATCGCAGATCACCCCTACATCTCCCCATCGAACATCATCCAACGGCCCAAGGTGGTTTACAGCGAGTCTACGAAGGAATACCATGTAAACATGCAAAATCCCATCTCATCATCTCAAAAGCGAGTAGAGAAGAATGACTTACACTCCACGCAGCTCTGGTGGCACGCCGACAACTCGACCTACGGTCTCCTTCTCCAAGGCCTGGCCCGTTCCCCTAACATCTCCGGCCCCTACACCTTCGACAGCGCAACCGCCCCGCTAGGCAACTGGTCCCAAGACTTCGGCCTGTTCACCGACTACAAAGACGGCCGATCCTACGCCTTGTATTCCAACGGTGACAGCCGAGACGGTCGGGATGTCTACATCTCGGCCTACAATGAGGACACCACCGCACTCGAAAAGGTTGTCCACCGGTTCGACAAGTTCGACCTTGAAGCCCCCTCCATCGTGCAGACGGACAAGAGTTACTACGCCCTGATGAGCCACAAAACAGGATACCGCCCCAACAATGTAGTCGCGTTCCGCGCTGACTCCCTGGCTGGGCCTTGGTCGCAGCCGTTCACGGTAGCGCCGCTTAACACCCGGACGTTTAACTCCCAGTCGGGGTTTACGTTGACGATCAAGGGGACGAAGAAGAAGACGTATCTCTACCTCGGTGATCAGTGGGACTCTAACTCGTTGTGGGAGAGCCGCTACATCTGGCTGCCTATGGAAATTGACGACAAGAAGAAGACGCTGGAATTGGAGTGGCATGACGTGTATGACTTGGATGTGAAGACCGGTGAGTGGGCACCCGTTAAGGGGACGACTTACTTGGCGGCCGATGCGAAGACAGCTGGGAATGCCTTCAAGCAAGAAGCGAACTTCGCCAGCAAGGGCGTCATTGCAACCGGGATCTACGGAAATGATAGTACGGTGACTTTCGAGGACATCAAGGGCACGGGTAAGCCGCAGTGGGTGTCGTTTTATTATCAGAACACGGACGATATGGGGTTTGGTGACCAGCCGGGAGGATCGCCGGACCGGATTGGGGGCGCGTGGCAGCTGCGGCGAGTTGCGAGTGTGATTGTTAATGGAGGCACCGAGAAGGTGGAAACTTTGTTCCAGAGGGATACGAACAAGGGGGTAATTATTTCGACGCCGCTGCTTTTGACGCTGAAGGAGGGTAAGGGCAATACGATCACGGTTGGGGGGTTGTGGAATGGGTTTGATTATAAGGGGGCGGATTTGGACAAGATCGTTGTGTACCCGCCAGAGGGAAGCGGACCTTGAAGAAATGGCGCCGTGGCTGAGATGGCTCGTTGCATCTGACTAATCGATCAATTATTAAGATGCAAACTAATTCGCTGCCGTATTTCAGTGATAGTTTTTCCCATACCGATCTTCCCACTGAGCTTCCACCATCCCCCACGAACGGCTGTCGGGTACATCTACAAGACCGCCCCTCCGGCTTGACCGTCCTTGCCCAAAAGCATCCTCGAGGGTGAATTCGTCTCTCAGCACTCTACGACCGGACAAGAACACCCCCTTTTGCCACCGCGACACCCACCCGCGGTGAAGCCACTCGTCTCGGATAGGTTCACCGACCCGCAAAAAGTTGTGCGAATTTGGAGAGATCGCACCACCCACCTGGGGCTCGCTGCCTAGGTACGAACAGAACACGCTCGCCAGAGCCGAGCGTTGGGCGACTGCATCCTGTGCCAGTTCGGCCAAAGCCACGCCCCAGGACGTTTGACCGGAAACATACATTGGGATGCCGACGTTTTGCAGCTCGAGCGATGTGACCTGTGGGTGTCCTTGCATGAAAGCCACCAGAGAGTCGGGCCGCAACCAAAGGCCGGAGAGGGCCACATGCTTGAGGTGCTGGAATCGTAACCCCTGGTCGATTACGTTGTTGAACACTTTGTAGTAATAATGATACATCGGACGTCCTTCGTTGGACTCGTACACCAGAGTCTGATACATGTGTACGTCCAAGGACTCGAGGTTTCGCATTTGTTGCAAAAGCTGTGCGAAGCCGGGGAAGTTATCGCGGCAGATAGCCTGGACGGCGATGTCCGAGTAACGGCCACGGATCTCAGAATTTTTATCGGCTGCAATACGTGCGTCGTACTCTGAATCATCCGAATCCCAGTCGCTGTCATCGGTGTTTTGTCCCGAGTCCGACCCTGGCTCCGAAGCAACCCCGTGTAGATCCGACCAGTAGACGTCGTCCCAGATCTCCGCCCACTGCAGACGCTGCCGTCGCCTCTCTCTTTTCCCAGCGTCCGGGCCGTACACGCGTTCTAGCCGTTCCCATCCGTGATCCATGCGATTGGAAAAACTGAAGGCCAACTGCTTGATACCAGCTAAAGCGACTCCTGCGTTATTCGCTAGCAAGCCGGGAATCCCTGCAGTAATGTCGTATGACGGAATGCTGCATCCGGCGGCGTGAGAGAGAATTTGCAGGTTGGGGACGGCCACTTGACTCCGTGCCAATGCCGTCAAGGTAAGCCGGTAAAGCTGTGAGGCTCGTGCCCATAGCAGCTGGCGGTCCAGATCCACCATCTCACGGGCCACCGGGCGAGAGTATGATCGCGGGCCGCTGACGAAGCGAGCGTCGAGCTCTATGGTGTCTAGTGACAGATCCTTGAGTTGTTGGAATATCGCTACCAACCGGTTAACCACTTCTTGCTCACCCTCTTCGGATGTCAATAACTCTTCGTGTGTTTCGAGGTGCGCTTTCATCCAAGACAGATCATCGGCTCTTTTCCGCAACTCTTCTTCGCCAAGTTGCACCAACGGCCACCGCAATTGGACGACCGAGTCACCTCCGAGCCAATTTTCTAACACCATTTCTGGGGGGGAGGTCTTCCCTGTGGCGAGGATATGTTCTAGCGAGGCAACCGCAAAGGTCTCGGCCATGATTCGCACATGACGAACCTTGTGATTAAACGCATCATATTTAATGAGCGCTTCCAAGGAATCCAGACTTTTCGGCGTTAGGTTTATGGTTTGGCGTCGGATCAGGCTATAGAAATGCGGACCGGTTGTCGCGATGCTCAGACCTTTGCTCGCCAATCGAAGGTTGTGGATGGATTCGGCTGGCAAGTTTTGCACGACTTGCTCCATCAGCTCCCGTGGGAATACCAGGAGGCCGGAACCCATGGTGGCGTGCGCGGTGTGAGAAAACACCAAATTTGCTGACTTGCTTGTGACCCCAATACGGCGTTGCTTCCGCCACGTGTAATGAACGGGACGAAACTCAAAACCTTTCACCCCATTGTGTTGAAACAAACAAGGGAACTTTCGGCTCACCGCGCCGCGGTGACCCAAAACAATCAGCCACTCGCACCTTCCGAACTAAAAATAAGAAAAGTTATTGGCTTGTCGGAGCGGCTGAATTCCACGCCGCTGATATGGTGGGACGACGCGTCTAACCCTAACCCTAATACCCCTGGCTGACATGCAAGCGAACGGCACAGCGGCGTGGGTTCAACAGCCGAAATTTTATCTCGACTTCGACATTCGCATGGACAGAAACTGAAAAAAAAAAAAAGCGACGTAAATTAGGTGCGCTCCTCTTTGAACACAACCTTCTCGGTGGCGACAGCTCAAATAAGTCGGTTTCATCTTAAACATCAGCATGGCGAGAGGTTTACCCATTCCGAGCCTCGTTCTCGACGGCCGAGCCTGATGATCCCAGTGTCTGTGTGCGACATGACCTCGGGGTGGGTGACATTGGGGTCCGTCCTGCAGTCGGAATAGGGGCTGTACCCGGGAGGCTTGGCTGTCAGCCCTGTGAAAGAGCCGCAAAAGTCGCGAATCCTGCCGTCCCATTGACTTCGACACTTGGCGTTCTCATCTTGCCTTATCCCTTAATTAATGTGTAAAACTGCGTTATTCTTCACATTGTATCGTGGAGAAGCCAAGTCTCCGCAAACCTCGCTCGCGCCTTGGCCATGCTACTGTCGTCAACATGCCTTATCAACGGCCTGTGACCTGCCTGAGCAACCAGCCCCATGATGGCCGCTCGAATGCCGCGGTTCATTTCAACGGCTGCCTGTCGGCTGCAAAACGGGACGTGTTTTTCGCCAACCTCCCACCAGAAAAACAAGAGATGATTACTCGCGCCAACGAGCAGACGGCCGAGTTCCGGAGCCGTCTCGAGACGACGGACCGACATTCGACCGCGGGCACGAGACTTCAGGAGTTCAAACGAGCAATGGGCCAGTGGACTTCTCTAAATGGGCGCCCCAACGCCCAGTACACCAAATCTCCGCGCCCGGGATATTCAAGGTCACAAACCCCCAAGATGCCAGGTTTTGTCAGCGGGCGTCCGGTAATCGACCACCAAATCAAAGCGCCTGTTGTGTATTTCCGGGACGGGCTGCCACAAGATGCAGCAGATCTCGACAACCATTTCCCTGACCAGGGCTTTACCGTCGCAGATTTGATAGCAGACGATCCGAACCTTAACCCGATCATGCAACCCGTGGATCAAGACGTTATCCGGTATTTCCACCTCCCCGCGAACAACATGTCGTGGGTCGAAGAGATCATCGCGCGCTACTACGGCGAGCAACGACCGAGTCCAGACAGACTCTCTCATGATGGCGAGTTTCGAAGGGTCAACTCCAAGACTGAAGCCATCCTCAAGCCGAGCTACTGGTATGGGCAACGGCATTTCGATGCTTCCTCGCAAGTCCATGCACGGCATATGCGGCCATTTTGCGCTGGCATCCCCAGCAGCAACACGCGAGGGTCGATCCATCAGAATATGGTCTTGTACATGCCATATCTGCATTGGGAAACCGACCGTGGGCGCGTTCGATCCGCTGAAGTCGCCAAAGAAGCCAGCAAACAAAATCTGCATTCCGTCGCAGACGTTATCGAGCAAGCCCAAAACCGGCTGGGACGTACCGACACCCACCAGACATTAACAATGCCGGCTGCGCCTCCACCCGAACGATCTACCAATCGACTTGGCAATGTTGATCGACGCACAGCTGTCGGCCAAGTCTTCCGTACGGCCGCCGCGTTGATGGAGGCTATGGATTCACACGTGGATGAGCAATTCACTATGAGATATCTACACGAAAACCCCCCGCTTCACCCGCGGAGAACACTCGACCAGGCGTACTATGGTGCGCTCCGGAGCACCGGTACACGAGACAGAGATCAAGTCGTGTATCGAGGAACGGCCCCAAAGCCGCACAAGTGTTTGCTGCCCGGGAAATGTCAGCAGTGCAACGAGGATGTCTGCAAGACTGCTCGGCTTCTTATGGTCGACCAGCTGTGGATGTGGGTGCTTGATGAGCGTACGTGGAGTCCTATTGTTGCTAAGTAATTACCGATCCGGAGTTAACACATAGCAGAGACGGTACTCGCCTGCTTCCCCCGAAGTTGGGGCGGAAACCGACCAGATAACTCCGACATCCAGAAGTGTCTGGAAAGGCGGTTTTGTCACTTGGATCATGGGGGGGTTTCGTCTGCGTATGATCTCGCCTCCATCATCATTGACGAGGTTTCGCGCGTATTCTTCGACTGCACCAAGATCAACACCAAACAACCAAATCCCGTTGAGCTTTTCAACGCCGCCATTAATGACCTCACCTACAAACAGACTGCGGCGTTTGACCAGTTCCTTATTTACACCAATCTAGCCTCCCGAGATTACAAGCGAGAGCGCCATACGGCCTCAGACGGATCTTCACAAAACCAACTGCTGAACATCAATCCGGAGGGTGAGCTACTTAAGGAGGTGAAAGACATCATCGACGAACTTCACATCATCCGTAGCATAAAAGAGCAGCAGCAGACAGTCCTGGACTGCTATGTCAAACACGTCCGGCGCTCCCTAGCTCCTGCGATCCGCGCACATCAGACGGCTGCGGCTCATGGCTCATCTCCTTGGTATTTCCCCCCTGATGCTTTTACCGACAGAACCAACCCAGATTCTAGGGTGACAGCCCATTTTCAGAACGCCCAATACACACTCACCAATGCGGAAATGCTGCTCCAAGACCATTCCCAGCGAATATCGGAACTGCATACCTTGGACAGCAACGCCCGCAACACATCTACAGCAGTAAGCCCAATCCCCTGATTATTTCCCCCAATCCCATAATTACCCCCACACAAAACACACCGTCAACCATCAATAAACTAACCCAATCCCCCAGCTCAAAGACCTCCTCACCCTCAAACAACAACAAGCCGGCGTAATCGAAGCCCGCGAAGCCGTCAAACAAGCCAATCTCACCTTCAATCAAAGCCGCTCTATCATGATCTTCACCATCGTCACCATCATCTTCCTCCCGCTCTCCTTCTGCGCCTCCGTCTTCGGCATGAACGCAGCCGAGTTCAACGACGGCCACCTTACCCTCTCTGAGCTCCTCCGCCTCATGTTCCCCATCTCCACGGGCATCATCGTCGTTTCCTTCCTGCTCGCCTTCTCCCGCACGTTAATGACGAATAGTGTTGTGTTGCTGCTGCGGAGTGTGACGAGTTATGCGTGGAATACGACGAGTACGTGGTTGGCGGTTAAGACGGGGATGTATGTGGCTGGGAGGGAGATGAGGGCGAGGGCGAATCGGTTGAGGGAGAGGGAGGGAACGGTTACGGGGGCGATGAGAGCGGAGGTGTTGAGGAGGGAGAAGAATTTGGAGAAGTTGAAGGCGGCGAATCATGTGAAGGATTTGGCGATTATAAGGCGGCAGAGGACGGAACGGGCCGCTGGGAATGAGAGTAGTGATGATGGGGAAGGAGGGGATGATAGGATGGGGCCGGCACCTTGGGGGGGTGGTGCTGCTTCTGCTGCTGCTACGGGACATGCTAGGCCGTTTTTGAGGCCTGGTGGGGGGGAGATGGTGGATGTGGAGTTGGGGGAGAGGGCGAGGAAGTCGAGTTCGCAGATGAATCTTGTGCAGGGGAGGTGAAGCAAATGGGAAAGTGAATAGCGTAGAAGATATAGTCTGCGTTTGTGTGGTGAGCCCACTGCTGCTGGCGATATGGACAAGGATGATCAGGTAATTAATGACAACATCTAGCAGAGGTAATTACCTTGTTTGATTCCCAGACGTAATTACAGTCCCATTGGAGTGTGTATAATTAATTACAAATAATCAATCACAAAAAGGCCGGGAACAATCACCCTATATTAATTAACTCCTGCATCTTTGTCATCTAATTACTAGTTATGGCCAAAAAACATAGTAGACCTGAACAAATCCAAGTCCCATCAATAAACATTGTATCAAATTGGAACAGACTTTTATGGTTATAACTCGAATCGCTGTTTAAAGCCTGATATCCCGATGGTAACAGTATTGTTGTTTAAAATAATTAGTTATTGTTTTAAACTACCGATGGCCCGATTTATGCCTTTGGACCTTTCATGTGTTCTCCTTTATTCCTTTTCGTCTTCTTTCACTTTTTTTTAGTTTATTCGTTTTTGATCTAGGTTCCCTCCTGATCAACAACATCAAACCTGTAGAGTGGAATAAACAAGCGTTCGATCGATTAGTCCTCCCACATAAAATCAAAGACATCGTTAAGTCACTGGGGATGGTGCGCGCGCCACAATCCAGATCGGAGGGACGCCACATGCTCAACGGTATGCGGGATGATTTGATCGTGGGCAAGGGAAACGGGCTTATTATGCTGTTGCATGGGGGGCCGGGCACAGGGAAGACGCTGACAGCCGGTACGTGGATCAAAGACACAACGTCAACCAACTACTTACCTTGCGCACGTGCAATTACTAACAAATGACAACAGAGAGGTAAATTGACATTCTCCTCGTTTCCCACAAGAACCCCGCATGCTGACACCAGTTGCTTTCAGTGTCGCGGAGCTCGCCGAAATGCCCCTTTACAGCGTCACATGTGGCGATATTGGCACAAAGCCTGAGCAGGTCGAGAACTATTTACAGGTGGTTCTCATGCTTGGAAAGAGATGGAACTGCGGTAAGTGACCGACTTCTCTTGCCTTGACTTTCTTCGGCGCCCCAATCTTGACGACGACCCAATCGTAGTCCTTCTTCTGGATGAGGCAGATGTATTCCTCGAAGAAAGATCACTTGCAGACCTCGAACGCAACAGTCTCGTCTCTGGTATGGTGACCTTCCCCTCGTTCAGAACCTTTAACATAAGTATCTCACCACGACCTTTTTCTTCCCTCGATTGTAAATAGTTTTTCTTCGAACTCTCGAGTATTACGAGGGCATCCTCGTCCTAACCAGCAACCGCATCGGCATCTTCGACGCCGCGTTTACCTCTCGGATCCAAGTGGCATTACACTACGATACCCTCAACGCCTCACGGCGCCGGGTCTGGCAAAACTTTTTCGACATGCTGCACACTGAGAACCCTGACAACATCGCCAGCACCGGCATCGAGGGCAACGTGGAGAAGGTTGACATGGACGACTTGCGGGCGCACATGGATGAGCTTGCCAGTCACGAGATGAACGGCCGCCAGATTCGCAATGTCTTTAACACGGCGCGCCAGCTTGCCATTTTCAAGAAGGAAACGTTCGCCTGGAGCCACCTCAGCCAGGCCCTGGCGACTGTTGGAGACTTTAATAAGTACTTGCGAAGGCTGCATGGGCACTCGGAAGACCAGTGGGCGAGGGATGAGAGGATAAGATGAGGCTTGTCATGGACGCGAGGCGTGAGGTCGTAATATTCTCAGGTAAACGGTCCGATTTTACTTTATCTACGTAAATACAACAACACATACATGTCCTGGGTTTCGATTGCTTTCTTACCTTAGCTAAAAACTCCCCTCTCGGCCGCGAAATGAGACTTTGCTTGGAGCGAGAGCGGCGGAATCCTCCTTTAATTTCTCGACTCTTGCGTCTCTTCCCCTTGGGGTAATGACACTTAGGATACGCTTAATGGGGTTAGTTCGTGGAAACCCATCACTGCCAGAAAGAAATAAGTTGCAACTTTATTTTTTCTCATTCCGTGTTATCAGTTAATGATCGATATTCATTGTATTAACGGTAACAGCGCAGTAATCTAGTCTAAATAAGGCTACGGATACTAAAATTCACATTGAGAGCCGGGTTTTGTTAAATTCACAGGCCCGATGCCAAGCCCCTGTAACATGGATTAGCGGGTTCATGACGCGGGACAGCGAAGACAGAAGTTGTGAGCAGCTGATATCGTCTACGAAGTACTTTTATCCAGCACAATCAGTCTCCCAGCCATTCCCCATTCCAGCCCAGTCACTCTAGACACTAACCATTACGGCTTTGAGCCACCAATCTTGTTTGCCCCAATGTTGTTTCCACCACTTGTTTCCACCATCCTGTCTTTGAACCATTAAATCCACCACCAAACGCCCACATGCCCCTCACAAGCAAGTCTCACAAGCAAGTCTCACAAGCAAGTCTCACAAGCAACCCAGAAGTAAAGCAGCCAAGTAATCACCTCTTCCGTCTAACAGTCCCCATCCGATCCAACAACCCCAAATCCCACCAGCCCTCCACCACCATCCCCCACACCGTCTTTCTCTTCCTCTTCCCACTCCCACCGCCACCAACCCCTGAAATCCCCAACCCCAACCCCTTCTCCCCATCCGGACTCACCCCCCCATACCCCTGCTCATGATCTTGATACCCCCCAGCACCAGCTCCGGCAGAGTAGCAAATACTCCCCTTAGCCGATTCCACCTCCCCAGCACTCTCCTTCCCAATGAATGTCTCTCTCGCAGCGGGGGGGTGAACGACCACAATCGGCGGCGGCGCAGCTTTTCTCCTTGTCGTCCTTTTTGTCAGGTCTCGGACACTGCGATGGCCGTGAAACCGGTTCGCGACAAGGGTGGATAGCGCGCGGAGCGGGGTTAACGGTGTTAAGGGGGAGGTTGGAGATTGAGATGGCCGGGGAATGCGTTTGTGTTCTGGCGGGGTGGTGTCGTCTGCGGAGGGGGAGTAGACGGATGCGGAGTATGGCATTGGGGACGGGGTTGTAGCTGTGTCAGGGTAGAGGATGGTTGGGAGACCGGTGGTTGTGGCCATGGTGCCTGGGATGGCGAGGCGTGGGAGGAGTGGTACTGCGGTGTTGCTTGAGGCAGCGGTTGTGGTGGTTGTGGTTGTTGTCGTGGTGGTGGTGGTCATCGTCTTGAGGTTGGAGATGGGCAGAGGTAGAGGAGGAGCCCGGGATAGAAGAGGGGAGATGCCGTCTTCGGTTTCGGGGCTGGGTGTGCTGTCGGATTGGCCGGTGGTACGCGGCAGACGGGTGTGGATGGGCGGCGGGGGACGGAGACCCCGGGGTTGAGGTGGACTGTTGGTTCTGTCAACCATGATCGTTGAGTCCTCCGAGTCGCAGCTCAGTCGGGGTGGAGTGGTTGTCGTTGCGGCGTCAACTTTGATAACCGGGTTGCTGCTGTCCATGTTGCGGTCGATGTTGCTGCTGCTGTCAAAGTTGCTCCCGTCATACGGCTGCAGACCACGAACTCGAGGGCGTCCTTCACGAATGGGCACCACCGGGGGAGGCGGGAAGTAAGGCTCAGGCTCACCCGGCACCGCCGGCGCACAATTCCAGCGCTCCTGCGGCGGCTTGTTGAGCTTGATCCTATTCTTCTTCGCCTGTTCATCCCCAGTGGTGCCCGCGCGCCCCTAACCCTCAAACTCGATATCCTTCGGCTCGGCCGCAGCCGCCTCGCGACGGATACGGTGCCACAGGCCGACACAGACCAGCCCGGAGAAACCGAAGAGCACGCACAGCGCGATGGACAGGCCCCAGACTGTCTTGATCTCGTAGCAGGTCGCCTGGTCCAGGGCCACGAAGGAAGGGTAGGGCAGGGTTTGGGTGATGACTGTGCCGGCGAAGGGAAGGCCGCCTGAAGACATCACAGACGGGTTGGCGGCCAGGGCGGATTCCGTGGAGAGGATGCTGCAGTTGAGTGACGAGAGGGGTTTGCCGAGGAGGGCGGCCACGACGATGCTGGCGATGAGAAGCAGGCTGTCGAGGATGGCGGTTAGGAGGAGCGGGAGCATGTTGTCGTAGTAGAGGATGTATGTGATGGCGACGTAGATTACGGATGTCACGGCCTGCTCACGTTAGCTGTCATGTCTTACTTTAAATATCTCCGAGACCAAACCTACCACTGTGAGCGTCCCAACGAGCTCAGCAGGCGGATTATGCTCAGCCGTCGCGATGTTGCTAATGAAATTGGCACACATGCCAATGGCCGCAATCAGCGACGCTACCTGGCCAGCCCGCATGATCGTGAACGTCACGCCCATGGCGCCCAGCTGAGGCGATTGAAACCGCATCTTGATCGCCTCGGGTGCGTCAAAGTTGGTGACGAGCTGGAGCGAGGGTCGTTCCGCACTGGCTGTCCGGAGAGGGAACCGCGCTTTGGGAAGCGGAAGCGGGACCGTCGGGGGAGGCGGGAACGAAGCGTTGGCGGAAATGGTGGGCGATTGGGTCTCACACCGGCTGGTGCGAGAATGAGACGGGGAAATGGGTGAGAGGACAGATCAACTGCCGGGACCCAAAGGAGAAAGTGTTGTGTTGTCGTTGACGTTCGTAGCGTTGAGATGGAGAGTGAGAAAGAAACCAAAGAAATCTTGTTGGTTAGGAAATCGAGAGTCCAAGGAAAAGATGTCGTGATATGTTTTTTGGAGTCGTAAGAAACCGGAGACCAGACCCGAGAGACGATAGACAAGACGAGACGAGACCTAGGAAATAGGAAACTAGGAAACAGAGGAAAAAAGGAAAAAAATAAAAAGACCTAGGAAACTAGGAAACAAAATGGCAAATGCAAATGATGTTGAAGAACAGAAACCATCCCAACTCCAGCTTCGCGTGGGACACCACACCTTTATGAACCCGTTACCCGTTCCCGTTCCGCGTCCACCTTCCCACGTTCACCTTCTCGTTCGCGGACACAACGGTCCAGAACCCGTTCCCGATCTCGAAATACCCACTCCCCATCCCTGCCACCGTAACCTCAAACAAACGCGAACCCGTCTTGCCCGTCACCTTAGCGCCTTCACCACGCCCTGCACGACATGCCTGATGCCAGCACCCACCATCCATTCGACGCCCAGAAAGCCCGTTCCTATTTTCTGCTCTCGCTTCCCAGGGATCTCGAACCACCCAGCTCCACACTAGCACGACAGCTCCCCTGACAGTGTCGCACCCAAACCTGCGGGTCAGGCTTAGGCGGACTTCAGCAGCCGCCCGCGGCAGCCCACAGCAGCCCCAATCGGAAGGCCTGCATTGCCCTGCGCTTTGCAGTGCCGGGGGCTGCCCCACCCACCCTTCGGCGGCTGGCAGAAAACAGCTCTGGCCAATCAGGATTGAGAAACGGATGTTTTGCGCGTCTTGGTGCTCGCAACCCCGGGCTCACGCCCGCTCACGCCATGGACAGCTTGAACAGCCAGGCGAGCAGGCGCGCCAAAAACTTTGTTTGAAACTTTTTGACGATGGCGGGTGGGGGATGATTGGCTGGGAGGTTTGCACGGCTGGAACGGGCCCTGGGCGTTAGGGGAATTAAAGGGTGGTTGTTTAGACACCCTGGTGGGGTTTGTGTCGCTATTGTTGACTTGAGGGTTTCTTGGGGGTTTATGCTGGCGACTGTTTTTGTGAGTTATGGGTCGGGTGAGAGGGCCGGTTGACTCATTTGTTGTTGTCGAGATCTTTGTTGTGGTGGTTCTAGACTTGGGTTTGGACGAAAATACCTAACTTCGTGATTCATGGAAGGATGAGGACCGCTGAGGCAAGGGTTAGGGTTACTGGCAGGTCACTTAACTAGGGGATTTGATTTCAACCCAGGGCATTTTTGATGGCGGCTGTGCTAGCGTTTCGTTGTATCGATGAATGCGTCGACATTTTTTGACCGGTCGGATGAAAGCCCGCTGACCTTTGCAGAGTTTCAATCCGTACTTAGGGAGTGATCTGGCTCAATAGATGGTGAGAGGCAACGCAGCTACAAGTTCGGGAAATGAAACAGTAAGAAGGGTCGAGCAGGAGGATAAGGTGTTTGGATTTGTAGTTGTCGGACCCAAGCTCGGCTCCTGTCTCGACTCAAACGACGAGTCAGGGTTAGGGTTAGGACACGCGTCCCCCATGAGGTACCGGCCAACATCTTTCAAGTGAGAAGCGCAGAAAAGCGACAACCTCGCAGATACAATTAAAGGAACCGTGTATCTCATGCTATTCCCGAATATAACCGAAAACATTCCCCAGCCTCGCACGGCCAAAAGTGGTTCCCTGCTTTCAAACTCCCTCCCGCAGTTGCCCACACACGGTTGGACAACCACCCGATCGGGACGAAACCCATCATCCTGAACCGTATATATGGGGGTTTTAGGAGCCGGATATATTTTTCCCTTCCTGACAACCGTTAATTCGCGGGTTAGGAAAATTCCCGGCTCCCATGTATGAACGTTTCCCAAGTATAAACCGTTCATGAACGGCCTGCAAGGCGGAATCGGTTAACCAACCGCTCCCCCCTCAGAGCAGTTTACAAAATAAGCGGTTTGACGCCCCCAAGACAGAAGCAATCCATTAATGTACAGCTTAAGACCTTCAAGCGGTTTATTACACGGATCGGGGATATATTCTTAAGACGTGAGCTGTACCAGACTTTTAGCACTCGGTATGGTCATATCACCCCTATCTCGGGGACTAACTGAGACCTGAACCCAAACAAGGCCGAACCACTCCCATGATCAAAAGAACAACCTCTCGGGAACAAACCCGAGGTACCTAATGAGACCAACCCCGAGGGAAGAACTCCGATTGCTTGTTTGCCGTCCTCACTGAGTCGCCTCTGTCGCCTGACCAACTGATCGACCCATCGTCGACGTGTAACCTGAGGTGACTTACATTCGATTCCAAATCATCCCATCCATCTATCTCATACCTCCACCACCGGGGTGTCCCGACTGGTGTCCCGGGACGGGGTGTTTCTCGGTGATTTCCCCTACTGGGTAATAACTGACTGACCGCCTGCCTGCTAGCTTGCTTGACTGACTGACTGACTGCCCGACAGCCAGCCTGCGTGGCAGACACACAGCACTAGGCAGATATCTTGACTGAACGAATGGCTGGCAGGCTGAGTGACTGCCTGCCGGCCTGATGAGAGACATACTGACCGAACAAACAAACCAATGCCCCAATCCGGATAATAACTCCCCCCCC